AGACATGGTCTGATCCATGATGAGTTGAAATAATATTCTCATTTCATTTTAGGATATGTACTTCCTACTTGTAACCTTTATCTTGAATAGGGTTTCAATAAAGTTTGTTAATCGAATCCATCTAAGATATGAAAAGGAAAGAAAATGAATTTATCTTTCATCAAGATTTGGAGCTATAAAGCATATATCAAACATTTAGACAGAGACAAACTAAAGCCCAAATCAACGAAGTGCAAATTTGAAAGATATCTAAAATAAAAATAAATAAATGGGTATTAATTTTTATACTACTAGAACAAAGTGTTGTTCATTACTAGACATGTTATGTTCCTTATGAAGGAATTTATAAATGCTAGATATAATGGGAGAAAAGTTAAACTCAATGAGATTCGAGTAGACTCATAAATTAACATTACACTAATGGAATCCCAAGTAGAAAGGTTAAAAAGTATTGTAACTACCCCATAAATAAATACACAAGAACTTCATGAGTCTAAAACGAGTTCGTCAACTGTAAAAAAGATATGATCTTCTTATCTTAATACATGGTGATGTGTACCCTAAAGAGGATGATGAAGCTAATACCTACGAAATGGCAATGTTGGAATTGACTCCAAGAAATGATAAATGGATGACAAAACTATTCTCTTTTATGAAAAATTAAATAAGGATGTGTAGAAGACACATCCTAATAGTTATATCACTAAAGAACATATAAATAAGATTTGTAAATTGCAAAAGTCCATTTATGGCTTGAGTATGCCTCTAGGAATGAGAATCAATGTTTTAATAAAATAATCAAAGAGTTTGACTTCTTCACAAAACACAAAGATGAACCTTGTGTATGCAAAAAGTTAATGAGAGCTTACTAGTCTTTGTTATTCTATATAAAGATAAACAAACTATTTCTCGGCTATAACATTATTATGTTACAATTTATAAATAATTATATATTCAAAAATTTCTCCATGTATGATATGGGAGAGCAACCTACATTCTAGGAGTAGAGATCTATGGAGATAGATCACATAGAACGTGAGGGCTCTTCTAAGACGAGTACATTGACATGATACTAAAACTATTTAATGCAAAAAAGTCAAAGAAAAGACTTCTTCTAATGTCACATAGCTTGATGACCGACTATAAAGGATCCATAGTGTAAGATAAGGAATCAAGGTCTCATCAACGGTCTAAGCATGTGCTATGATGTTACCATTTGACTAAAGAGGTTATCAATCATGGCAATATAAGGATAGAAAAGGTTCATACCGATAATAACATAGCTAACTCATTGACTAAGCCTCTATCTTAGCTGAAATATGAGACCACTTACTCGATTGTCGGGCATAAAGGATATGGCTAGTTGACTCTAGTGTAAGTAAGAGATTGTTAGTATAGGTGCTCGAGATCCAACCTCTTCATTCATAGCAATCTCTCACTATATGCGATAAGACTTGTTAGGCATTGTATTAATATTGCATTCTTTATTTTATTAATAAAAGAAGTCTTTCTATTAATTCTTGTGGTTTATATTTTGATAGAATTATATAGAAGTCCATATGATATGCATTGTATTAATGATTGATCGAAAGATATGAGACAAACATTAATGCACGTAATTTATATCATTTAATGTCCCGAGTCATAGCATTGTCAAGAAATGAGATTATGTTATAAGATAACTATAGAAGATCTCACACCTATTGGCATGGTGATACCAAAGCAAGCACTTAAGTGATTAATGTTAGAAAGCATATCACTAGACGTGACTCACCATAAGAACCCATTTGGTTTAATATATGGGAATCTCATAACGAGATGGGTATAATTGATCCTTTGACTTGAAGTGATCACTATTATCTCATTAGAGGATTTATGTACTTTGACACTCGTTCGATAGGCTCGGTAAATAGTTGTATATGGACGATTCGTTAGATGTACTAAGAATATAATGGAGATAGGTGGATGACTAAGATAGTACATGTCATTTCTTATACGCTAAAAGAGTTATCTCATTACACTTCGATGAATACTTTGACACTCGTTCGATAGGTTCGGTAAAGAGTTGTATATGGACGATTCGTTAGATGTACTAAGAATATAATGGAGATAAGTGGATGACTAAGATAGTACATGTCATTTCTTATACGCTAAAAGAATTATCTCATTACACTTCGATGAATATATGCTTAAGGAATATGTGGCCATAATAGAAGTATACCAATAGATCATAATTGGTTTACTGCGGAGCTAAGACATTTGGGAATTAAAAAAAAAACTTGTGTGACCATAATCGAACAGATTATAAACTAAGTTCGAGATCACATTATGATAAATTAACATGATGACCAAATTATATGGTAACCATACTCATAAAATGTAATTGCAAATTAATTAATCTTTCTAGAGAATTGAGTAGTCATGATGCCTTACTGGAGGCCAATCTTGAATTATGCATCAAGAGATAAAAAAGGTTTCTTTTATTCTTCATACATTGCAAATATATCTAAGAGCCTATTGAGTCACACGCATAAGTTTAAGCATTCACATAATAAAAGAGAAGTAAAGATTTTAGAAAAAATTTCTAGTCTTGGAAAATTTCTTGTTTTGGAAAAAGTTTCCTAAAATGGAAATTTTTCTATTTTAGAAATCGAGTTTTCTAATTTGAAGTCGACTTCAAATTTAAAGTAAGTTACCTAAAAAGGAAATTAGTTTCCTAATTTAGGTTTAAGGGTAATTTGGAAAATTATTTCATAATGTGGGTTTTCTAAAAATATATAATCTAATTTATTTGAATAGTCCAAATTAATTGGTAATTAATTGAGCTAAAAGAGTTTAGGTCAATATGCTTAATTTAAAACCCTACAAGATATTTTGATGAGAGGATAAACTTGAACCCTATTAGACATGACTTAAGGTTTATAAGGATAAGATCATACAAACTCACTCACACTTGTAACTCCTTGTCCTTAGAGGATAAGGATGCTACCCCCATATAAATAATAGAGAGAAAGGTGGCAAGAGGGGTAGATTAACACACACACATACAAAAAAAAAAAAAAGAGAAAGAAAAAGGGAGAATGTTTTTCTCTCTCAAAAGTTGGAGTTGTCGCATCCTTTCTTAAAAAGCCAATGGTTGGTGCATAAACCCTAATTTGATTTCTAAAGAAAAGTTAACTATACAAAAGCATTAGAGCTAGCACTTTATAATTTCTATGGCTTTCTTTGTGGGTGTTTAAATTGTGTTGATTGTCAACAAAACTTACCTCATATATCCGAGTTTACGACACTTTTTTTGCTTCTAACCTTATTTTGCTTCTTTTTCTCTCATTTTATATCATTTTTTACCTTTTGATCTATCTAATCTCACAAAAAATGTAGATTTTTCCAAACTAATTTAGGGTTTTTCCTCCTCTCTCCTATCGATTAAAGTTAAAAAAAAAATGTCTTTCTATCTATCTCCTCGATTTCTCTAATACGATTTGTTTTTTTTTTTTTTTTTCAAAGTTAAACAATTCATTTAGCTCCCACCCCATTTTGTTAATATTTTTATTTAATTATTTTTTTACTTAGCTAGTCTAATTAAAATTAAGCCTAGTATGTTTACGTCTATCTAATTTTTTTACCGATGTTTTAGTTGTAACAACTGCCATATGGCATAACTTGTCAAACATGTTAACAAAATTAGACCTCGATAAACTCGGGCACTAAAATAAATAAAAAAATCAAAATTTGAATAGCAAATCATTAAAAATGAATAGTTGGACACAAAAACAAAAAATAATCAAAAGTCAAGCACCAAAAAGCCTTTCTATCTATTATTATAAAGAACTATAAAAAAGGTGATGGTTTTCTCATTCCTACATTATTCATACACTCACAAATAACTATTTATTAGGTGGCATTTTTATGATTTGAATAAGTGGTGTTTTTGGTAAATTAAGTGATTTTTTAGCCATTTAATATGGCCATCTCTTTTTGCCATATGCTCATGGTGCTCCTTTCTACTATCATTTGATTCTTCCATTTTCTAATGCATTCTAAAATTCAAATTAAAACAAAACAAAGATTACAATTCAAGCAATGAAAATGCCAATGCCTAACTAAAAAAAAACATATAATTATTACACCAAATCTAAATAAATTTCTTCTCTTTACTTTTCTTTTTTTTTTTCCGAGTAAATTATGAATCAACTTAGAATTTAAAATGAGAGCATTTTTATATATAAAAAAAAAGGAAGAAAATTAAACAAAAAAGGGTTGCTAAATTTTATTAAATAAATTAAATTGGGGGGCTTTTTTCCTTGAAAATTAATGAATGACGTGCTCTAAATCTAAATCTAACTCAAGAACTTAATAATAATAATCTTTATTATGTTATATTTAAAGAGAGAGAAATTAAAAAAAAATCGAAGAAAGGAATTGAAAATGAGAGAAACCAAAGAAAATGAAAAGAAATGAATTATTGAAGCATAAAAACCTATGCCTAAAAATTTGAATCTGTCTAATTTGTTGATGAGTTGTTTAGGTGATGAGGACGGTGAGTACGTTGAGTGAGGTAATGAGGGCATAATAATTAAATATAAAAAAATAATTAAAATATTATAAAATTGAATTATTTTTTATATTTTTTATTTTATATATTTTTATATTTATGGACTCGTAATATAGCACAAACTATTAAATTAAAATTATTTTTAAAATAATTTTATATATTTTATTCGATGTGCATTGTAAAACATCTAATTATATCCAAAAGAGTCTTCTGGAAGGAAAACAATTGAATTTGTGACAGTTCAGCATTACCGAACCATTAACAAAGGGACTAATTTATAGAAGATAAAAACAAATATAGGGATGCGAGGCTTTGCTTTTCAAATAATAATTTGCTCAAGATTACCTTTCTTCGTTAATAGCATTAGGCTTGTAACATCGTCAAATTCAAACTCAACAGACAATAGTATAACCAACACGGTGGTGCCATAATTTTGCATCCTTTAATGACGATACTTCTAAGGGGCAAAACACACTTAATCTCCCGTATCAAATCTCTCACCCCTTTACAGGTCTCTCTCTCTGATCTCAATCCCCTTTATTTTTGTAGAGGCATTTTATCGAACACATTGTAAGCAATGTATTTGCTTATTGGTTTTTCTTTTGAAATTTGATGTTACAGAGATTCAATCATAATTTAACTGAAGAGGGAATAGAAGCTCAAGCCTGCCCTGAAGTGGGTTATGATTTCCTCGCTCAACAGAGTAAAAATTTTCAATCTTTTTTTTTTTTTTTACTTTTTTTATGCGTGTTTTAAAGTTGTTAACTTTTGGGCAAGTAACTATGGTTGTGAAGGAGAATTATCAGTTTTTGTGGGTTTCTTGTGTTTTTGTTTAAGATTTATGCTTTTGGACAGTATAAGGTTTGATTTTTTGATGATTGGTGTAGGTTATGTTGTTGATAAATCAAAATGGAGAAAACTAAATGCTAGGTATTATGGTCTAACTCATTCAATGATTCCTGCTGCTCCATGGACTGTTTTGAAACTTTTGCGTGCTGAAGGTAATCCGTGTTTCTTTAAGCTTTTATTTAGCTTTAATGTATTTATTTTGCTTCAAGTTTATGGTTTAAGTAGTTTTTATGATGCTTTGACTGATGTGGTTTTGATGGTTGGGAACTGAAAGTGAACATTATTGAAACAAATAGATTCTTGGTTAACTGTGTTGTTCAAAATTTTACCTTTTCAAAGCTGAAGAAAGCTCTATAGCACTGGCTATGCCAAGGAAGAGATTATTAACTGCATCCAGTGTTGTGCTTACCTCTTGCTTTCTTGTGGGAACGAATTTAGTTGCTGCAATTGTGCCTCATTTAAACATAAGAGAAGTGAGCATTGCACTGGCTGTACAGAATAGTTTATCATGGTTCTGGTGCTATTTGACTCTGGTTTTTTGTTGTTTAGTTCATGTCTTCTATCATGTTGATCTTGCTTCCTATGATTGTCTTACTTCCTTTATGCACATATGGTTTGATTTCCTTGTCATATGCAGGATTTGAATCGTACTTAGTGGGGGGATGCGTGAGAGATTTGCTTTTGAATAGAGTACCTAAAGATTTTGATGTGATCACCACAGCTAACCTTAAGCAGGTCTTATATTTGTATTCTAATTTCGTTGTCTTCTTCTTCTTCTTTTCTTTTCTTTTTCTTTTTTTTTTTTTTTTTTTAATGGTTGAATTTCCATGACTATATGGGTGATTTATGTTGACATTTTTTTGTTATTATTTTTTTTATATCTTATTACAGATAAAGAAGAAGTTTCATCGTTCTCAGATTGTTGGACGGCGATTTCCTATATGCATAGTGTATATCAAAGGTTCAGCAATTGAGGTTTGTTTGTGCCTTTAGTGGTTACAATCGGTTCTTCTTCAAGTCCTTTTAGCCATGATGTACAGCCATTTTAAGCATTCTGCTACTTTGCATGTCATATATTATCTTTTTCTGGCAGTAATTTTTGTGATTTTTGGCTATAGGTATCCAGTTTTGAGACCGCTGCAAAACAGTCTCAGGAGAAAGAGAAGTTTCTTTTATCTCAAATGCCAAGGAGCTGTGATGAAAAAGACTGCCGCCGCTGGAGAAATAGTATGCATCGGGACTTCACAATTAACAGGTGTAGTTTCTTTCTTTTGCATAATTGGAAGGGAGAATCATTTATAAAATTACTTTTAGTGCGATTGTTTGTTATAATAGTGATGCAGGACAGCTTAGGGGCTGTTCTGGATCTGAGTTTGGAGGCTGTTTAGGGGTGTTTGTGGTTTCTACTTGGAATTGTAGAACTATTAGAGTCGCACTAATAGGGTTTCTAGGAGTCACACCTAGAGAATAGGAAAACCTAAGCTTCATACCTAGGGTCCTTAGGAGTCACACACCCAAGAGCAAAGTGATGGAAATTATTTGATATTATTGTCTTCTGTATATTGAAAGACTACATACCATATTTATAGAGCTGTAGAAGTCCCAATCCAATTAGGACAAGGATTCCTAAACCTCCAACATAACTATTCCTATTTAGAATAGAAAAACCTATAGCTATTCTTATTTTGGAATAGAAAACCTAATAACTTCAGGACTAAGAAAATAAAATACTAAACAGAAATAAAGCCTAGATCTAGACAATTTCCAGATTTCCAGCAAACCTTAAAAATACTGAACTACCCATGCATTCTAAAATTTAAATAAAACACATAAATCTTAGTCTTTTGTCATCCGCATCATCCTCTCCAGCTTGGAGAAAACTCAACCTCAAGTTTTGAAATCATGTGATTGCATCCTCATCATCGGCAAGGTCATCAGCCTCATAAACCCCAAAATCAAAAGAATTTCCTGCCAAATCAGATTCTTGTTCTGCAGCTTCCTTTCCTTGTGCAATCCCAACATGCAAATTTTCTTCGTAGGACATTGGTAACCCATATGTCCCTGCTCTCCACCCTTAAACAAGTCCTTTGTTGTTTCTGCCTTTGGTAGGAGCTATATTAGAAGAAGGTATTGAACCATTAGGATGGTTGACAGGTTGTGAATGGACTGACATTCCTTCTTTACTCAAGTCAATGGCTGGCCTTTCGTTCTTGCCATAGGAAGTGGTTGTAAATCTCATAGAAGTCTTCTTTTTAGCTTCTTCCTCAATCTGAGCAGCAACTTGAACCGCATCAGCCATTGTATAAAGCCTACAAGTAGCTAAACCAGAAGAAATTTGTAAATTCAGCCCTTGCCGATGCATATATATCATCACATCTTCATTCCAAGGAAATTCTGACCTTGTTGCTAAGCTGAAAAATTTGTTAGCGTACTCATCGATGCGTAAATGTCTCAATTGCATAAATTGCATGTGAACTCATTGCTTGTAATCTGGAGGTACAAAATAACTGGTCATAGCAATCTTCATATCTTCCCAAGTTCAAAGGGTAGCATAATGACTTTGCTGAAATTTTTCTCACCAAAATCTAGCTGTCCTTTTCAACTTGGCTTCCACAAAATAAATTTTTTCCTTATCACCCAAGTGATACAAAGAGACTTTCCAAACCATGTAACCAATCGAGAAATACCTCCGGAGTACTCTCTCCATGGCAATCACTAACATCAAGCTTAATACCTTTATTTATATCATTCATCCTTGAATTTTCTTGATATCGAGTTTGAGGAGGAAAAGAAGGATGAGTTTCTACCTTTTGTGTTAAAGATTGCATTGATGAGTCTACTGCAGGCTGTATTTGGTTAGGCACTGGCTGGTTGAGGTTATGGGTAGCCACAACACCTTAATTTTGTGGAAAAGAGTTATCAGCTGTTGTAACAGCAGGTTGCTTTCCTAGAACAATTTTTGAAGCCATTCAATTGACACCTCTATTACTACAAATCTGGAATCAAATTTTTCTTCAATGTTATCCAACCTTTCATCCATAGATTTCTTGCTTGCTTCAGCTTCTAGTCCAAAGGCTTCAAATTTTGTATTGACTTCATTGACAGTCACCATGATTGAAGAACGCAGCAAATGATCTTAGGATCTTGTCCACTACCAACTAATGCAGGACAGCTTAGGGGCTGTTCCGGATCTGAGTTTGGAGGCTGTTTAGGGGTGTTTATGGTTGTATTGAAATCGGTTTCTAAATGGAATTGTAGAACTATTAGAGTCACACTAATAGGGTTTCTAGGAAAAACTAAGCTTCACACCTAGGGTTCTTAGGAGTCACACCTAAGGGAGATTGAGTCACACAGTCAAAAGCAAATCCAATTAGGACAAGAATTTCTAAACCTCCAACATAACTATTCCTATTTAGAATAAGAAAACCCATAACCATTCCTATTTTGGAATAGGAAAACCTAATAACTTCTGGACTAAGAAAATAAAATACTAAAGAAATAAAGCCTAGACCTAGACAATTTCCAGCAAACCTAAAAAATACTAAAATATCCTTGCATTCTAAAATTTAAATAAAACACATAAATCTTAGTCTTTTGTCGTCCACATCAAATAGCAATTAAAATCGTCTTTCCACTCTATTTATTTGTTATAGGATGACATATCAGATCTGAACACTGAGTTTAGTTGATGCCATATAACTTGTTATTTTACTTGATATTGCGGATGCAGTTTGTTCTTTGACCCTTTCATGAATCGCATATATGATTATGCCAATGGAATGGCTGATTTAAGGTCATTAAAGGTGATTTTCTTTTCATTTACCATTGAAATCTGCTTTCAGATTGCTTCTTCAATTCATCATGTTAACTGAAGTTGTCTAAAAAAATTTCTCACCCTTGATTGCAATATTGTCACAGCTACGCACATTAATCCCTGCTCAACTGTCATTCCAAGAGGACCGTGGTAGGTGCTTTCACATTATATATATGTGATCTTTTAGCTCCATGGTATTTTTATTCCCATCACTGAGTATGCTCACTTCAACCTGACTGGACTGGTACATGCAAACTGTCATGCAGCAAGAATCTTGCGGGGCATAAGAATTGCAGGTCGTCTAGGCTTGTCAATTTCCAAGGATACTGAAACCGCAATATGCAAACTTTCATCTTCCATCAAGAGTTTGAACAAGGTACTTCAAGCTTTAAACAAGACTTCCCTATTGCCTGAAATTTTATTGTTTACTGGTTCTAGTTTTTTCTCTGCTTCTGTGCTGGAGATATTTTACCTATTTTCTTTTTCGCTGTCACTTTTTTTTATCCTGTACACAGTAGCTGCTTAGGAGTGCATTCTGTAAATGCAATTTAGTTTCATCAACCGCATCATATTCTTATAAAGATGGCATCCTCTGTTTATTCAGGAACGGCTAATGATGGAATTGAACTACATGCTGTCTTATGGAGCTGCTGAGTCTACTATCCTTTTGCTCCAGAGATTCCATCTGCTTGAGCTTTTTTTCCCTTCCATGTTTGTACCTTTGGGGTCCAACTTACTGCATTTTCCGTTTCTTATAGACACTCATTTACCTTATGTCTGAAATGCAAGTTTCGATTGCAGGCATCATACCTTCACAAACAGGCTGGTGAAATATCTGTTCAGGGTTCCACAATGCTGATGGTAAGGTTAGCTTTACCAAAAAAGAAAAATTTTAATTGCAATTTTATCAATGACAAATATGATTCTAAGGTGTGCCTTTTATGGATGTAGCTAGATATGGTAAAAATAAAAATCTAGGAAATGATTACACAATAATATAGGAAACCACTAGAAATATTACGGTACATGTTAATCATTGTTGGAGGATGCTACGGCAACTCTTACTAGGAGAGACAGAAGCATTCATTGTTATTGGAAAATATATTAAATTTATTATATAAGCTTTTGAATCAAATTGATTGAGATTAGTCACTATTTGCAAGACTAATACTTATATATATTGTGTTCTTTTAGATCTCATTTGGTCTGATAAAGTTGAGAATAATTATTTAAGTGAACAGTTTTTTTACATTGAGTATGACAACTCAAAGATGATTAAATGAAACAAAAGCTGCCAGAATTTACTAATGAGGTGATGTAGGACAGAGTTGAGGTCTCTTCTCTACAAAGGATTTGAGATGAGCTAGGATTTATTGTTTGTGAAATTAGGGTAGAATAGAGCTTGTTTAGGAAGAAATAAGGAGAAATTAGGTTGTGAACGGTAATTCGCAGCACTGTAGCAGCAGAATAAGAAAACAATAAAGAAGAGAAAATAGGAGAAAATAGAAGAACAAGAGAATAAAGAAGAAATCTTGGCACTAAGCCTCTAAAATAACTCTAAAACTCAATTTATTGCATAACGCAACTCTGCTGGAAATAACTCTTAAAGGTAGCATGATGACTTTGCTGAATTTTTTCTCACCAAAATCTAGCTGTCCCTTTTAGCTTAGCTTCCGCAAAATAAATTTTTCACTCATCACCCAAGTGATACCCACTCAAAGAGACTTTCCATACAATGTAACCAATCAAGAAATACCTCCAGATTACTCTCTCCATGAAAATCACTAACATCAAGCTTAATACCTTTATTTATATCATTCATCCTTAAATTTTCTGGATATCGAGTTTGAGGAGGAAAAGAAGGATTGGTTTCTACCCTTTGTGCTAAAGATTGCATTGATGAGCCTACTACGGGCTGTATTTGGTTAGGCCCGGACTGGTTGAGGCTAGCTCCATGAAATTTTAAAGGAGACTTGTAGATGCAACATGTGGCTGCATGGTAGCTGGAGTAGAGGACGGATTCAGATGATCAACAGCTTGACTAGGTGCAGTTTCAGCAAAAATTTTCCCCTTGTCACTAGTTGTTAAATTCTTTAGTGCAATCTTTATCTCATCCAAGGTCGATTCCATTGACACAGCCTTCTCCAATGTGGCTCCCATTGATCCAACCTTCTGTTTGTATTCTTTGAATTGTTTCCAAAACGTCCCAAAATTCTTTGAAAAAGACTCAAACTTTGAAGAAAGTTCAGCGTTGCTGACCATTGCGAGAGAACAAAATAGTTTGAGAAGAAATTCAGAAAAGAGAGGGAAGGATCTGATCTGCTCTGATACTAGCTGATGTAGGATAGATTTGAGGTCTCTGTTCTACAAAGGATTTGAGATGAGCTAGGGTTTATTGTTTGCGAACTTAGGGTAGAATAGAGCTTGTTTAGAAAGAATTAAGCAGAAATTAGGCTGTGAACAGTAATCGAAACACTGTAGCAGCAGAATAAGAAAACAAGAAAGAAGAGAAAATAGAAGAACAAGAGAATAAAGAAGAAATCTTGGCACTAAGCCTTCAAAATAACTCAAAAACTCAATTTATTGCATAACTCAACTCTGCTGGAAATTAAAACATAGCATCTCTATTTATAGAGATTAAGGCTCCATAAAATATCAGACCTGCGCTGATAACTAATCCTTACTTTACTATGAAATAACTAAACAGGTATAAACTATTAAAGACTAAGGCACTAAATTCCTGAAAAGGCCCAACCCTTCAAGTAATTCTTGAAATTACTAAAATACCCATGATTTGTAGAACTTGCAGAAGTTACAATTCTGCCCCTGCCTACAAAATAACCCATAACTCAGGACTGTAAACCCCAAACAAAGAAATCTACCAAGGACACTTATTTTTTTTGACCAAAAAGACGTCTTGCTTGATGAAGAATAACTTAATGTAGCTTCAGGTTTCCAAAGTGGAGATTGTTTCTCTAAGTACAACATAGCTACTCCATCATGAGGTGCAGCTTTGGTTCTGTGGAGACCGAACAGGCTGTGCCCATTTCAGACATGGCATTCTCTTTGTGAGTCATTACAACCACTGGCAAGAGGGTCTGTTGCTCACTGGTGTCTAGAGCACATGCCATGTCAGGAGAGCAAGTGACAGGTACTGGACTTGATGCCTGTCACTTTCAACTGTAGCAATTTTCACAGCAGCAGCATCTAGCCTCCTGTATCTTTTTGCTGCTTGTGTGTGCTTTATCAATTCTAGTTTACTCCAAGATTAATCCAAGTTCGCCCGTAACTAGTACCTCAATTAATCTTTCTTTAATTTTCTTTATTAATTCAATTTGTTTTCTTTTTGGCAGAAATTGTTTTCCAGTTTGGATAAAATGGTAAGCAGTGATCGACCTTGTGATTGCAGTCTGTGGTAAGTCAGCTGTTTACCTTTTTTTTATTATTAATTTGAAAATCTAAATGTTTACAGTATAATTGTTCTACCTTCACCGCCACCACAAAATTTGGTTATTTTACCACCAATTTCACTCTTGAAATTTATCCAGTTTTAGGAAAGTTCTATAGTTATTTTCTCCATCCTATCTTGGTCTCATTTTTTACACACGCACATATATATAACAATAATGACGATGATTGTAAAAAATACGATAAATAACCAAATTTCCTTAAAAGGTAAACGCCTGTGTGGATGTGAACTCTTGAAGTCAATTGAAAGAACTTAAATGTCTTTCCAAGGTAATACTCTGTGATAGCCTTCAGGGGGGCAGTAACCGGATAGATAAGTAGGTGAGAAGCTGCTCAAGCCCTGTTCTAGGTTATGACCGCTGGTTATAGCTGTGCTTCACCATCAAAGATGGATGCACCCGCTATTTTACCTCAGAACTCAACAGGATTGCCAGTGGCTGACATGTGATCTTACTCTTCAGTTGGTTTGGGAACCCCCTCATCCAGTGCAAAAATCCTCTTCGTATTAAATACTTCACAAAAAACTGATCTCCCTTTACTTCTTGGACCTCAGTTTGAGGGTTTATCATGTTGCACTGACTCATATTTCCTCAAAATTGCCTCTTTATTTCGATAGCACAAATCCCATTGTTTGGAGAACTAACCTGTTGATGAGTTGTGCTTGATCTATATATGAGTTTAAGGCCTTAGGTCGCTTTATAGTTTATTTATTTATTTTTATTCTTCCTCTTCAATATGTAAACAAATTACCTATGGTACCTCTGCTCCACTAGGTGTTAGGTGGACTCCGCCCAGGGAAAAAGTGATCAGTTCATGCCAACTTCGTGTCTAGTTCAATATTCACTCGTAAAATACAGTTTCTTCAATCTTTGGGAATTTCTTTCACAAGTGAGGAGTCTACTCCCATGCATTCATACTCAAGGATTCACATTTGTTAGTGATGGGTGGGTGATATTAGGTTCCATCCTGTGCAAATAGTACACCACTAATCTTTTCTTTTTTTCTATGCCAAAACTATGTGAACAGTGTGTGGATAGTGCTCATGTTTATATGCTTTTGCAATTAAAGTTTTCTGCTTGAGACATGGCTGATGATCATGCTTTGTGCACGGGACAGGGTTGGACTGCTAGCCTTTCACCAAGCATTAGTATTTAATCCACAAAATGCATTTGTAGTCTGGGTCTTCGCTTCTATACTGTATTGTGGAACGCAGCAGGAAGGTGTTCAATTTGCAAGAGAAAATGCTAAAGTTCAAGAGAGATTTGTACCTGAGATCTCTGGCTTCTCTGAAATTAAATCAGATGAAGAGCTTGCCGAAAAAGTTTCTCAGCTAGCATCTTTAGTTCAATATACTGTAGATGCTTTTACAGATGAAATTAGTCTTTCCGAGTCCTTGTCCAGATACCTAGATTCCCCCTTCTACGATTTGGTAAGCCCACATGATTTTGTGATTTAGTGTATTTTTGTTTGCCAATAACTTACATAAGGTTTGTAGCACTTATTCATTCTTTTTTCTGAAGTCCTTTGAACCTTCCATCATACAGTGCCATCACCACTCTTCTGAATTAAAGGAAACTGAAAGAACAAGCTGATCTGTTTAGTTGATGTCTTTTACCATCATGATCTTCATCGTGCTTTTAGTATCAGATGCAAATGCTTATAATTAATATATGGCTTATCATGCTAGTAACTCAAAACTTGTTTATCATAACATGCAAAAACATAGAGTTTTATAAGCGCAGGCATGTCTTGTCCATGCGCATGGACACATTAAATGTCTTGAGCTTTGCTATATGTAGAAAACAAAGATGTGTGTTGAACTTATAAATTGGATAAAATTTGATACCTAGCAGGAAAAAATGGAAACAAGGATGTAACCATTCGCAAATATTTATGGTTTGACAAATCTATGCACATTCAACTTACTTTTTTGAATTATGCTCTCTGAATTAAGTGGCCAGCTGACCTCATTGTCACTGTTTGGAAATTTATGGTGTCATGTGGCAAACTTTTCCCATAGCGATTTCCTACACTCCTAGTTGAATAATCAAGGCACTGACAGAGTCTTGGGTCATTGAATAAATCCACCCTTTAATCTTTTTAAATACCATGTGTCTTGTATATACTGTTAGGGAGGCAGCTTGTTTAGACTTTGGAAGAATTGATAAAAGGGGCTTGCTAACCTAGCCAACAACATAATGATATTAACTGCCATTTCTCGGTATGGAGAGTTGCTACATGATTCAGTCCTGCCATTATTATCCCTGCTGTGCGAGTCTCTGGAAATGAATGATTTATGTAATGGTTACTTGAATGAAAACTGTTTCAACCAAGTCATTCCCCATTATATATACTCAAGATTTTTTCCCTGTTGAATAAAACTCCTTGTTTGGTGACACAGGTGTTCATATCAAAGAAAATCAGTAAACATGTTGCTCTTTTTTTTCATATGCAACCTTGCGAATATGGAAGAGAGAGTTTCAAGATTGACTATGATTTACTTGGGAAAGGAGATCTGCATGAGACTAGATTTGTCCTGGGCAAGGTTATTTTGGAAACTTTGAGTGGTGGGCTTGTTCGAGGAAAGGAGATTTTAAAGGAGGACACGAAAGTCATCAAGAAGGATCATGAACCAACACTTTCTGATCTGGTAAAGAAGGTCAACGGAGAAGGACATATTTTATTATCATTTGATGAACGAAACCAGGAGAGAGCCAATCAGCTGGAAAACATTAATATGAAACAATTTTCAGAACAGAAGATAAATAGTATGAAGGAAAAGGTGGTTTCGATAGATGCACTAATGGATATGGCAAAGAAGCAACACAAGGTAGTTGACACAACTCTGGTTTGTGAGGAAAAATTTCATTTGCCACTGCAGGAGAGTGATAAAAAGCAAGTGGCCGTTGGCAATGAGCTGCACCAGCATAGTGCTAAGAAGCATGGGAAGATGGTAGAGAAGGTGGAGCATCACAAGTTATGTTATAAAGAAACCAAAGAGCTGTTTAATGTAATTAGAAAGTGTAATCCAAGTGAGGATAAGAAAATTAAGGGGGAAGAGAAAAACATTCGGCCTCCAGTATTGCAGGAGCTGGCAAAGGAGAAGACTAAGAAACTGAAACATGGAATGGCTAAGGAGAAGACTAAGAAGCTGAAACTTGCAATGGCTAAGGAGAAAAGTGTCAGGTCTAAGAAGCAACAGAAGGTAGTTGACGCAGCTCGGGTTTGTGAGGAAAAATTTCATTTGCCACTGCAGGAGAGTGATAAAAAGCAAGTGGCTGTTGGCAATGAGCTGCACCAGCATAGGGCCAAGAAGCATAAGAAGATGGTAGAGAAGGTGGAACATCACGAGTTATGTTATAAAGAAACCAAAGAGCTGTTTAATGTAACTAGGAATTGTAATCCAAGTGAGGATGAGAAAATTAAGGGGGAAGAGCAAAACGTTCAGCCTCCAGTATTGCAGGAGCTGGCGAAGGAGAAGACTAAGAAACTCAAACATGTAATGGCTAAGAAGAAAAGTGTCAGATCTAAGAAGCAACAGAAGGAAGCTGACAAAACTCTGGTTTGTGAGGAAAATTTTCATTTGCCACCACAGGAGAGTGATAAAAAGCAAGTGGCTGTTGGCAATGAGCTGCACCAGCATAGGGCTAAGAAGCATAGGAAGATGGAAGAGAAGGTGGTGCATCACGAGTTACGTTATAAAGAAACCGAAGAGCTGTTTAATGTAATTAGGAAGTGTAATCCAAGCGAGGATGAGAAAATTAAGGGGGAAGAGAAAAATGTTCGGCCTCCAGTATTGCAGGAACTTGTGAAGGAGAAAACTATGAAACTGAAACATGTAATGACTAAGGAGAAAAGTGTCAGGTCTGTGCTTTCCAGTCTCTTCAAGTGATGGTCCCTGTGTTATTGTAAAAAATACATACCACACATTGGGGAAAGGCATTGCCATGTAACTTACAAATTACAAATGACTGGTAAATCCCCCATCCCCGCCCCCCACCCCACGCCACCCCACCTCACCCCACACACACCCACCACCCCCCCCCCCCCCCCCCCCCCACACACACACACACACACACACACACACACACACATGCAGCAAATCTGCATCTGTAAGTAAGTGGATGTGGCTTTTGCCATCTGACGCAGTTTCCTTTTCACTGCAGGTGTTGTCCCAGTTTACCTGGCTTACTGTCATTGTAACATCATCCGGTTTTGTAGCATTCTTTTGTTTCATTATTAAGGAAGAATTAGGGCCATCTTAACATGCAAAGGCATATCTATATGGTTTGTACTAGGTTATGTTTTTTGGAATGTTAAGAGCCAAAATGAGTAGCTTAAGAGAGCCATTCAATACTGAATTATGTTTCTAGGTATGGGCTGAGGTAGGGTTGTGAATATCTGCTGTATACTTGGTTAGGAGTTGATGACTATCTAGTGATCTTTTCAATTTGCTTCACTTAATTTGTCAATTCGCCTCCTTCAGTGTAATATGTGAGTAATTATCTAAAGAATGTTGCTTAATCTCTCATAGTTCTCAGGGGGAGGTGGTGGTATAATGGTTTCAGTTGTGAGTAATTATCTAAAGAAACGTTTAGGACTCTACAATGTATGTAATATTGGGAATTTTAAATACCGTGGACATGAGTGAAATATTGATAAGTTTAAAATAGAGTAGCCTATCCCAAAATCATTTTATAAGAAATGTCTTTAATGATTTATACATAGGTGAGGTTATAGCGAGTCAAGCTCATCGATCTAATATTATCTTGTAGGAATAACACATAATATTCATCCATTATTTATAGGAAACGATAATTTTACCAAATTCAACTATAAAATTAGCATTATCCCACGAAAGGGAAACATTGATAAATTCATATAGGCAAATTGGTGTTCATCTCAAATTAGTTAATAAAAAAAAATGTATTTAATGATTTATGCATCTTAGGGAGTGAGTTTATGATGAGTCAAAGTTCATCTAGTACACATACACAGGTAACCAAAATTAATAACTCCAATTATATAATCAATCATTGGTAAAATATATATATATATATATATATATAATAAAATAAAATTTCTAAATGCATATGAACCTAGAAAAGAGAATAGAAACTATTAATATTAATAATTTGATAAAATTAGCATTATCCCACTTCAGCTTCATGACTTCACTCACTTTCCATAATTTACCCATAGCATTTTCGTGATGCAAATGGAAGTAAAAAATGAATGGCTCTAAAATGCATGAACAATGATGACAAACACAAAAACCGAAAGGGTGCTTATAATTCCTCCAATTGCTAAACTTGCTAGATTCTATTGTGGTGCATTTGCCCTACCAAAAAGGACCCAGTTACCCCAAAAAAAAAAAATTGGCTCCACGTCAACTTGACCCTACAAAAAGCCCTAAGTGGGCAAGAGCCTCTAGAGCCAACAAGCCACAATCAATCAATCATAAGCCTAAAAAACTCCAATAATTTGAAATCAGATGTGGCAAACCCACATGTATTGACAACTAGAAAATGACCGTTGTTAAGACAAGGAAAGAAAGAAAGAAAGCAAGCACTTTTTTTGCCAATCCCTAATCTAACGGTCATATTTCACTAGCCGTTAACTTTGAAAAAAAAAAAAAAAAAGGTCGGCTACACACAGGCCTCTCCTTCTTTTATTTCTCCCTCTGGGTTTGTAGATTCTGGTGCATTAGTTCAGCCTCTTCTTTTAAATGGACTTATTAGTGCCAAACCTTTAAAGAAGAAGGCGAAGAGAAGAGGGTTTGCTTTTGTTTGTTATTAATAGTTTGGTGTGATTAATTGTTCTTACATTAACAAGATGAATGTTTCTAATGAGAACAATCCTAATCTCATCACCAAACCCCCAAATTTTCAAGGTAAAGTTGGGAACTTTATTGGTTCTAAACACCAAAGGCGGCTCTCTTTTCAACATCTAACATGGGTTTTTGTTGTTTTGTTCGATAATGTTAGGAGGATTAGAGATGGGTAACAGAAAGTTTGGACAGCAGATTAATAGGCAGAACAGGAGAGCCTTGAGTATGTTGAATCAGAATTTTGTCGGACAACAAATGTACACTTGCGTTGTTAACAAGAGAGGATTGCAAGAGTAATTTTTTTTCCTTCTCGATTGAATTTTTAAGTTTCAGTATTGGCTAGTTCTATTGATTTTATTTTATTTTATTTTTGTGCACAGAAACCATGGAGTTTGTGAAGGACATCGACCAGTTACAAGGTTAGAAACAAGAACCCTTTTTGTTTCACTTTTTTCCTATGTTGTTTGGTTGGTGAGAAAGGATAGGAAAGAGAAAAGAAATTCAAATTTGAAGCTTGGATCTTAAAAGAAAAGCTAACAACTGGCACTTACAATTTGAGCTTTTTTTCTTTTAATAAGCCACTTACAGCTAGAGCTAATACCTTTTTCTTATTGAGTTTCAGACTAGTAGTAACAAATTAAAACAACAAAAAACATAAGATTTAGACTCCTTTTTTGTTAGTTTTTCCTGATTTTAGCAACCCAATAGAGGATTCTAATATTTATTCGGAACAATTTGATTTTGACATTTTGATTTAATTTTGTCATTTTATAGGAAGTTTGCTGCACAATTGTCGACTACACAGCAGTACTGCCACCAGGTAGAAAATGGATTTGCACTTATATATAATGATCTTCTTTATTTTCAAGGATGGAAGTGTTAATTTCTTGTAATGGTTAATATTAGCAGGATATTAAGAAGCAGAAACCATCAGTTCCAAGCACCAATGGATTCGGAGACTCTATATTTGCCGATGTGGAAGGGAACAAGGCATCTCCAGCAGACCAACCAGTTCCAATGTTCTTAGAGCAAACAGAAGCAAGCCCCGATGAACTGGACAAGATGGTATTCTATTCCTCTTTAATGATTGCAAGTCCCATTAGGGAAATGTCTTAATTCTAAAACCCATAATTCATTTGCTAAAATCTGTCAGGAGGAGGTTGAAATGGAGGATATAATGGAAGAACCAATTTTGAATATTGATGATTGTGATGCAAAGAACCCACTTGCAGCTGTTGACTATGTTGAAGATTTGTATGCCTACTACAGAAAAATGGAGGTAAATTCAACTTTAAAAATAAGATTTTGGAATGTTTATGCCGTATGTATTAATTAGGAGAGTAATTTTGACATTGAAGATAAAGTGCATTCAAGAACTTAAGTTCATTTATTTGCCAATGAAGCATTGCTGTAGCGATGAAAAACTCAAGGCTGAGGCCTTCAGGAGTCATCGCCTTACCCTCAAAATACAGACTTTGGCAAAAAGGAAACAAATTCATTTATTTCAAGGATTCATTATATGTAGTTAAGTTCATTCGATTCGTCAATGAAGCATGATCATGATCTAGTGATAAAAGATTCAAGGCTGAGACTTGAAGGAGCTTCTAGATTCAAATCTCACCCAATCCCTTCGACTTTGGCAAAAAAGAAACAAATTCATTTATTTCAAGTATGGTTGTTCATATCTCAAATGATAGGGTTAAGGATTGAGTGATAGAAGGTGCACAATGATCAAAATAACAGAATGTCTTGATCGTGAATTTGTCGGAGATATTTTTGGTAGCTAATGCTTCTCAATTCAGTTTGACGAACTTAGGAGTTCCTAAATTCGAATCCAGGAAGCATTTGGTCTAGTGAAGACTTGTTAAATAATAGTGTTAAGGGTTGAGAGTGGTAAAGTGTGAACAATTGATCTAAATATCGAAATGATCACGAATTGTGATCGGATTTGTTTTTGGTAGCTAATGTTTCAGAATTCAATTTTTCAACTGACTTTGCTGGTCTTGTGAAGACTTGTCACCTGCTTAATATGTTGATTGCTATTGTAGTAATTGTCTGGAAACCTCAATTTCTGCTTAAATTTGATTACTAATTTAAAACAACTTAAATCTGTGCAGAATTGTAGCTGTGTCTCGTCGAACTATATGGTGCAACAAGATGACATTAATGAGAAGATGAGAGCCATACTAATTGACTGGCTTATTGAGGTAAATGAATCGTGACCTATCGAGCCATGCCTAAGTTGGTAATGTGGTGGATCAAATGGTAAATGATCATGTTTTTGAATCATCAACAGGTGCATGACAAGTTTGACCTAATGAAGGAGACCTTGTTTCTAACTGTTAATCTCATCGATAGATTCCTATCCCAGCAAACGGTGATGAGAAAGAAGCTTCAGTTGGTTGGCTTAGTTGCTATGCTCTTAGCTTGCAAATACGAGGAGGTTTCTGTCCCTGTAGTGGGAGATCTAATTCTTATATCTGATAAAGCTTACACTAGGAAAGAAGTTCTTGAAATGGTAAATGTTGTTCCCTGTGAAAATACAAGGTGTTTTATATATATATATAAGCTCTCAGAAAGTGAGTAGTAATCATTTCCTCTTTTGCAGGAAAATTCGATGCTTAACAAATTGCAATTTAACATGTCATTTCCAACACCATATGTTTTCATGCAAAGGTTCCTCAAGGCTGCTCAATCTGATAAGAAGGTCAGTAATGTTTCCTGTAATTTATCAGGGAAAGATTCAATATTTGAAAGAACATGCAATTATAATACGTTAAGCCCTGACAACTGTGTCATTTATGACTTGAAAGCAGCTCGAGCTGCTGTCCTTCTTCTTTATCGAGCTTTCACTTGTGGAGTATGAGATGCTTAAGTTCCCACCATCATTGTTAGCAGCCTCGGCCATCTATACTGCTCAGTGCACCATCTATGGTTTCAAAGAGTGGAATAAGACTTGTGAATGGCATAGCAACTACTCAGAAGAGCAGCTCTTGTGAGTTTCTGTTTCCTGTCACAATATATTTTCCCTTTTTTTCTTTCTTTAAATGCTTTGTCAAATTCTTATCCTTGACATACAAGAAAGTACGTACCAATGACGACAATATACTCTCCCCGCTTTCTTTGATGACTTTTATTTCTTTGCATGCTGACAGAGAATGTTCAAGGTTAATGGTTGGTTTCCACCAGAAGGCAGCGACAGGGAAACTCACGGGAGTATTCAGGAAATACAACACATCCAAGTTTGGTTTTACTTCAAAATACGAAGCAGCAGCACAGTTTCTATTAGAGGATCAACTATAACAAGGAGCATGTGTACAGCTAACTTTACTTGATTGGGTTGGTGGGGTTACTCAATAATTGGAAACTTGGGGTTGCCGCTTGGGAATTTTGAAGCACAGCCACAGTTGATTTATCATGTTCTAATTGAACATGTTTTCTCACTGTAATTTCTGTTCCTTTGAAAGCAATAACTGATGACATTTCATAATTAAACATATATATATGCACGCACACCTATATATGATGTGTGTGTGTTTCAATATTTGTTTTCCCCTTTTTAATTAAAGCTTGGAGATGGACTTCACTCGTTGAAAGAAGTTTAAAGATATTCTTGGATGCACAATAAAATAGGAAATCTTAGAAACTGTTCGATTATTTAAATTATGTTGCTTATTATTTGACAAGTTTTATAATACTAAGAGAATAATTAAGATTAATAATATTTATACCATAAAAGAGATATAGATTAAAAAAAAAAAAAAACCGGAGAGAAATAGGATAGGAGAATGAGAAATTACTCCGTAAATCTATAAAAGAAAAAGAAATAAGAAAGAGAGAATTAAAAAAATTAAGTTTAAGTGAAAACATATTTATTTATCATTTTTGTAGGTTATAATGTGATTTAATGAGAAATTACTCTGTAAATCTATAAAAGAAAAAGAAATAAGAAAGAGAGAATTAAAAAAATTAAGTTTAAGTGAAAACATATTTATTTATCATTTTTGTAGGTTATAATGTGATTTTTTCTATATTTTTTGTATCTACCTCTATTTTCAAGGTAGATTATAAAATAAATATTGTTAATTATTTTAAAATTTATTTTTATTGTTATGTTATATCATTCTAACACTTCTATCTCAAAGAAGAGATGAGGTTGGATTTTGAAAGAAGTTCAAAGATTCTTTGTTGCAAAATAAAGTAGGAAATCTTAGAAATTGTTCAATTTTTTAAATCATGTTGCTTATTACTTGACAAGTTTTATGATACCGAGAAAATAATTAATAATATTTTCTCTATAAAAGAGATATAGATTAAAAAAAGAGAGAAAGAGAGAAATAGGATAGGAGAATGAGAAATTACTCCGTAAAAAAAAAAAAGAGAAACAAGAAAAAGAGAATTAAAAAATTAAGTTTAAGTGAAAATATATTTATCACTTTTGTAAGTTATAATGTGATTATTTCTATATTTTTTATATTTATCTCTCGTTTTCAAGGTGGATTATAAAGTAAACATTGTTAATTATTTTTTCAATATTTTAAAATTTATTTTTATTGTGATGTTATCATTCTAACACTTCTATTTCAAAGAAGAGATGAGGTAGGATTTTGAAAGAAGTTTAAAGATTCTTGGATGCACAATAAAGTAGGAAATCTTAGAAACTATTCAATTTTTTAAATCATGTTGCTTATTACTTGACAAGTTTTATGATACCGAGAGAATAATTAATAATATTTACTCTATAAAAGAGATATAGATTAAAAAGAGAGAGAAAAAAATGGGATAAAAGAATGAGAAATTATTCCGTAAAAGAAAGAGAAATAAGAGAAAGAGAATTAAAACATTAAGTTTAAGTGAAAATATATTTATCACTTTTGTAGGATATAATGTGATTTTTTTCTATATTTTTTGTATCTACCTCTATTTTCAAGGTAGATTATAAAGTAAATATTGTTAGTTATTTTAAAATTTATTTTTATTGTTATGTTATCATTCTAACACTTCTATTTCAATGAAGAGATGATGTTGGATTTGGAAAGAAGTTTAAAGATTCTTGGATGCAAAATAAAGTAGGAAATCTTAGAAATTGTTCAATTTTTTAAATCATGTTGCTTATTACTTGACAAGTTTTATGATACTGAGAAAATAATTAATAATATTTTCTCTATAAAAGAGATATAGATTAAAAAGAGAGAGAGAGAGAAATAGGATAGGAGAATGAGAAATTACTCCGTAAAAAAAAAAAGGAGAAACAAGAAAAAGAGAATTAAAAAATTAAGTTTAAGTGAAAATATATTTATCACTTTTGTAAGTTATAATGTGTGATTATTTCTATATTTTTTATATCTACCTCTCGTTTTCAAGGTGGATTATAAAGTAAACATTGTTAATTATTTTTTCAATATTTTAAAATTTATTTTTATTGTGATGTTATCATTCTAGCACTTCTATTTCAAAGAAGAGATGATGTAGGATTTTGAAAGAAGTTTAAAGATTCTTGGATGCACAATAAAGTAGAAAATCTTAGAAACTATTCAATTTTTTAAATCATGTTGCTTATTACTTGACAAGTTTTATGATACCGAGAGAATAATTAATAATATTTACTCTATAAAAGAGATATAGATTAAAAAGAGAGAGAGAAAAAAATGGGATAAGAGAATGAGAAATTACTCCGTAAAAGAAAGAGAAATAAGAGAAAGAGAATTAAAACATTAAGTTTAAGTGAAAATATATTTGTCACTTTTGTAGGATGTAATGTGATTTTTTCTATATTTTTTGTATCTACCTCTATTTTCAAGGTAGATTATAAAGTAAATATTGTTAATTATTTTAAAATTTATTTTTATTGTTATGTTATCATTCTAACACTTCTATTTCAAAGAAGAGATGAGGTTAGATTTTGAAAGAAGTTTAAAGATTCTTAGATGCACAATAAAGTAGGAAATCTTAGAAATTGTTCAATTTTTAAATCATGTTGCTTATTACCCGACAAGTTTTATGATACCGAGAGAATAATTAATAATATTTTCTCTATAAAAGAGATATAGATTAGAGAGAGAGAGAGAGAGAGAGAGAGAGATGGGATAAGAGAATGAGAAATTACTCCGTAAAAGAAAGAGAAATAAGATAAAGAGAATTAAAACATTAAGTTTAAGTAAAAATATATTTATCGCTTTTGTAGGTTATAATGTGATTTTTTCTATATTTTTTGTATCTATCTCTGTTTTCAAGATAGATTATAAAATAAATATTATTAATTATTTTAAAATAATTTAAAATTTATTTTTATTGTGATGTTATCATTCTAAAACAATTCTATTTTGAAGAAGAGATGAAGTTGGATTTTTTTTTTAAAAAAAAAAAATTCCGTGAATAATCTTTTCTTTTTAAGTTTGTGGCGAAATACAAAGTACAGAGAACTGTACAGCCTCCTCCTCCTCCTAAATTTCGATTATTTCTTAGGAAAGGAAGATCGATGAGGTCTTGTTAAAAAAAATAAATTCATGAAAAATCTTTTCTTTTGAGGTTTGTGGCAAAGTACAATGTATATAGAAGAAGTATACAGTCTTTTTATTCTAAATTCGGTTATTCTTTTAGAACCATACAGCCTCCTTATCCTAAATTCCACTATCCATTTATGAGTGAATTTATAAGACAATTACATTTTTTGTTATACTTCAATTACACAAAAACAAGAGATAAAAATCAAATCGAATACAAGTTCAAATTAATAACTTCATTCGTATTCAATTGTAGGCAAATAAGATAGCATAAAATCCATCATCAATCTCCAAGTGGCATCATTACTTCTCAAAAGCAGAAATCCCAAAAGAAGTTGCCACCAACTTGTATTCTTTCTCCTCTTCCTTCCCTAGTCAATGGACTCAACATCCAACACCAACTCTCACTCTTTCCCTCATATATGAAACGACACCATATTAGTCCCTCGTCAAGTGACAGAAAATAGGCAAGCCGCCAGCCTAAACAGTCCAGTACGGGCAAGTACACCATACCAAACCTCATAAAAAACAAAGACACCATTTTTCCTTAAACACCCTCCACCAACTACGTAAAAACTTGTCCATTTTGAAATAAAAAGCAAAAAAAGAAAAGAAAAGAAAAAACCCTTGTCTTATATTACTTACCAACAAAGAAAACTACCAGCATACCATAAAATAGACCACAGAAAAAACTGAGTGTTGATGGAAATTTCGACCACTGAAAAAAATAAAATAAAATAAATTTGAGTATAAAGGAAAAAAATATATTACTTTTAATGAATTTAGATGCTTTTTTTTTTTTTTTTGTAACATCTCTGTTTTTTAAAGTGGGTCAACAGATACACTAGTTATTTTTAGAGTATTTTAAATTTTCTGCCCTTTTCCTTCTCTCTATATAAAAACCCTTCTCAAAGATTCAGATCTTGCATTGCATCCAGCCACCACCAACCCCTGAAAATCAAGCACGGAGAGTTTCCACCTTTCTTTGCTAAACCTCGCTCACTCCCATGGCATCAAAACTAACTTTGTCATCACCAAACTCTCTCCTCCTCCAAAACCCTATTATCCACCACCAGAACCACCAGCTCCTCCTCAAACCCACCACCAAAATGACATCTTTTTCAATTTTAACCAATAAAGTTAAGGGCTTTTCAATCAAATGTGCAGCTACAACAACACCAACCCCACTTTCTCATAGTCAAGATCTTGAAGAGAGAGTATTTAATTTTGCTGCAGGGCCTGCCACTTTACCTGCTAATGTCTTGAAAAAGGCTCAATCTGAGCTTTGTAATTGGCATGGATCTGGGATGAGTGTAATGGAAATGAGCCACAGAGGGAAAGAATTTCTTTCTATTATTCAAAAGGCCGAGGCTGATCTCAGGGCCTTACTGAATATTACTGAAGATTACACTGTTTTGTTTCTTCAAGGTGGCGCCACTACACAATTTGCTGCTATTCCGTTGAATCTGGTGAAACCTGAAGACTCTGTTGATTATGTTGTTACTGGATCATGGGGAGATAAGGCATTTAAGGAAGCTCAAAAGTATTCTAAATCAAAGGTGATTTGGTCAGGTAAATCTGAAAAGTATACAAAGATACCATCTTTTGATAGTTTAGAGCAAACCCCAGATGCTAAATATTTGCATATTTGTGCTAATGAGACAATTCATGGTGTTGAATTTAAAGATTACCCAGATCCTAAAAATGGGATCTTGGTAGCTGATATGTCTTCGAATTTTTGTTCAAAGCCTGTTGATGTTTCTAAGTTTGGTCTGATTTATGCTGGTGCTCAAAAGAATGTTGGTCCATCTGGGGTTACTATTGTGATAATCAGGAAAGATTTGGTTGGTAATGCTCAAGGGATTACTCCTGTGATGTTGGATTATAAGATCCAAGCAGAGAATAACTCCCTTTACAATACACCACCTTGTTATGGTATTTACATGTGTGGTCTAGTTTTTGATGATCTTTTGGCACAAGGTGGATTAAAGGAAGTTGAAAAGAAGAACAAGAAGAAAGCTGATTTGCTTTATAATGCTATTGATGAGAGCAAGGGGTTTTATAGGTGTCCCGTGGAGAAGTCTGTCAGGTCATTGATGAATGTGCCTTTTACGCTTGAGAAGTCTGAATTTGAAGCTGACTTTATCAAAGAAGCTGCTAAGGAGAAGATGGTTCAGCTTAAAGGGCATAGGTCAGTTGGAGGGATGAGAGCTAGCATTTATAATGCTATGCCGTTGGCTGGTGTTGAGAAGTTGGTTGCTTTCATGAAGGACTTCCAGGCAAGGCATGCTTGAGTCTTTATTGGTTGAATGATTGAACCCCAACATGGTTTTTTCAAGTTTTGAGACTTTCAACGGTGTTGGTTCTTTCTATGTTTGATTTGATCTCATTGGTAGTCGCAGTTGGAATTTTGAATGCATTTCTGAGGCAATCAGTGTTCTTGTGGTTATGTTAAGTCGTTGTCAAGCTCAATTTATTAATCTATATCTTTTTTGTGTTCCCATTTCATTTCTTATACCATTATTGAATGCAATGTAATGAAGCCTAATAAAAGATGATATTACATGACATTTGAGCTCGCTCTTCCCGACACATCACTTTAAGTTTCTGCCAAATATATCGCTCAAAATGCAATTCAAGATGTTTGAGGGCTTGAAATGGAGGAGGGGATGACTTGGAACTTAAAATGCAGCAAGCACCATTGAACAAGCCACACATTGAGTTCTATTTCGGTGCCATCATTAATGACAATTAGCATCCTACATATTTAGATCCTTTAATCATGTACCTGTTGGATTGTAGCTTCACAATCTTTTAGCTCGACTTAAAAGACCCTCTCCTGGGATCTTGATTTTGAACAGGCCCTATGCGCTTGAACCTTAGCACTCGGACTAGGCCTTCAAAGATGTTTGAGAGGTACAATAGTAAAAGTTGAAAACATGGGCCAGAACTTTCAACTGGCTTGCACTTCGTGTTTGCCATTGTGGTGGAGAATCCCATGTTGCTTAAGCCACTGCAGAGACTAATTATCTCCACCAACCCTCCCACAAATCCTAGTGACCCAGAGGGCAAGCATTCGGTTTTTTTATTTTGGTTTTTAATATTTTGGTTTAGGCTTAATCGAACTCATAAAAAAAAATACAACCCAAACTGAATTTCTATTCTTTTTTTAGTAAAAAACTATTTTTTTCTATTTTTTAAAATAAAATAAATGAGTAAAAAAAAAAATTGTGCATGGACTCTGGAGTCTTTCCTCCTGCTCAAATGGTCTAAATCAGTCTATATAAAGATAATAGATTAAACACCAAACCAAACCATACCACATAAAAAGACATAATATTTTAAATGCAAATCCACTAATCCACATCTAAAATATATAATGATAAAAAAATAAAAAAAAATCATTGATTATTCAAATAAGTTGTATATCAAACTGCCAAAATTCATATAATACTAAAAATTTAAACTTTTTTTTTGAAAAAAAAAATTGGTTTTCAGTCAAAATCAAATTAATCTTGAAAACCAAACCAAAATCGAATATTCAAAATTAATTCAGTTTTGGTTTTTAATCAAAGTTAACTAAAAAGAAATAAATTAGTATTTTGATTTCGATTTAATTCGGTTTGTTTAATCAGTTTTAATCGAATACTAATCTCTATCCCGGTTGCAGCACGAAAATGATGCGTAAACTATAAATTAGTATCATTTGCTTTTCTTTTCTTTTTCTGTAGATATTTGCTCTACTTTAGGTTTCACACAAGCACGCACTTGCACACATACATACATATATATCTAATGAACAAGATATATGGATCCGCCGTCATATATTGATATTATTTTTTTTTATCTTTTTCTTCAAATTATATCTTAACTCTAGAAATACTAATTATTCCGTAGACCATTTATTTAATTTAAATCAAATGTATTAATTGACAATCACATTAAATTTGATATGATTTAATAATTAGAAAAATAGAAACAATATACGCAAATGAAAATAAAAATCATTTTAATTTTAATGTAACTGTCAACTAATACATATGACTTAATTTAAATGAATGAAGTACGAACGAGTAGTAGAGAAATTCCCAAGCGTTCCACCATGAACATTATATTTTTGGAATTGCAATTTACACCCGGTCATTACGTGAACTAGGCCTGTGTTTTTCCTTATTTCTAATGGGCCATTAAATCCAAGTTTAGGCCTTCTAGGGGCATGGTTCATCCTATCAGCTTGGCTAACTAGACATTTGACGCCAACACGACGGTTCATCCCATCAAGAGAAATGGGACAGAACTCGAGAGGTGGGGACAGAAATTTCCCTGGGGAAGATCAGACCGCAAGTACCATGTTCTTCACAAACTCAGGTGAACTGGAATATGAACATAATCAGGAATTTAGAATAACTTCGAACCTTTAAAGATTCTCAACATAGGAGAATCAGAGCAACCTTGAAATGAAAGGGAAAAAGATAGTTCAACTCAGGTGTTATTAGCAACATCAGTAACGCAGAATGTGCCATTAGAGATGACAGCCAAGACAGATCTGTATCTCAAACTCATTCTCCATATTGTGGCAATCTCTGCAGTTTGTAACAAGAACGAACTTCATGCTTCTCATTACCGTTCTTGAACACATGCTTTCACCTATACAATGAATAATAACATGGAATGAGGAAACAAAGAGTAGAGGAGAATTTATTTGCCTGTCCAGCTTCATGACTGCCCATCCAGAAAGCATAACTGGATGCCGATGAGATCTGCTTCCTCCCTATATTTAACACGTATCATTTTCTTGTAGCTGTTTTTTTACGCTATACGAAAAGTTTGGTTGCAAAAAATTGTTAGTGTACAAAAAGAATACATGATCAACCATGGCAACATCTCTGTTTTGAATCAAATCTGCTGGCAAGCAGCCACCACCACTTCCCTCGGACAGCAGTTGTAGACAATTCAACAGGAATTCCGTGAGGGAGGCTTCAGATGTTATGAAAATGAGAATCTCGAGAAAAGCGAGAGACCAGATCCTGAAGTGTCGCTTCCGGGGCTTGGTGGAACGTCAGTAGATGCTCGGTATGCTTGTTGACATTTCTGCACCTGTTTTTGCAATCAAGAGAGAAAAAATTGAGAAATTTTTCCTTGGAGTGAAGACGCCCATGTTTTATTTGATTGCACATAATATTATTGCCCTGGCCAATCTTCTGAGCCAAGGTCACAATCTGAAATGGACTATCCTCCACATAAGGATGCATGCGATGTGAGCAATGACCTTAGAGTGGTCAGCAAATGGCCAATGTAGTTCTTGCATATAATATGGAAGTTTTTCAAATTATTGTAAAGCTTTTTCCTTCTTTTTTTTTTTTCATCAAAGAGAAATGGTGGACCAAAAGGTTCACTTCTAGAGTAAAATGAACACAAACACACAAAAATAAAATAATAATAATAATAGTAAAATGAACACAAACACACACACAAATAAAATAATAAAAATAATAATTTTCAAAGCAGCAAGGAATCAGCAGTATTATGGCGATTCCTTATTTAACCTTGTGCATACCCAAAAAAAAAACAAAAAGAGAGAGAGAAAGGAAGCAGCACATGAGAAGCTAGTTTATGTTCTTCACACAGACATCATGACAGCACAAAATTATGCTTTACTATCTGCTTACTAATTTCAGGACCAAAGCAGCATAACCATAGAGCGGAAAGAGAAATTTCACCTCTTCCGGACTGAATTGAAGAAGCATTGCAACAACAGGCAGTAGAGCTTCCACTTCTCCTGTTCAAAGAAATTTAACAAGAATAAATCAATACCATTAAAATTTCTAACACCACTCATGTCTCAATGCTTCCATCAACAAGGGAGAAGGAAATGAATAAAGTTTAAATTTGTGATTAAGAAGTTGACCCAGACACCTGTTTCAAGAAGCTTCAAGATGACATTTTTTAGATATGTCAAATCCACACCATCCCTTCTCTGTGTTCTATCCATGCTGCGAAGCTCAGCCTTCAACATTGCTTCCTGTAAATATCAAGTTAAAAACATTCCATTATCAGGTGCAAAGCGTTATTAACAGCAAACAGGTATAGCAACAAGAAACAAAATCATGACCCAGCATATCTTAGCATGCTACCCAAGTCTTTTCATTACACACGTTCTCCCTTTTCACTAATCATTCTCGCATATCCAATCATAAAGCATTGACACTTCCTTTTTAACATTCACTCTAATTTGGAGTCACATTGACAGTGATACCATAAGCTATACAATCTTCTGTCTATCTGGCCATAACAAACAACTCAGTTTTAGTTTCTTTCTAACTTTTAGTCAAATTGCTCATTTGATGGAGTAGGCAAAATCTATCACCAGAAATTTTGTTTTTCAGCATATGATTCAAGAATCTTAGCAAGCTCTGGAAATCTTGTCTGGTGTAACTTCTCATAAATGCTTTAAATTCTTGTCACCAAACCATTCACCCATGTCAATAAGATCACCTTGACCATGCTGATTTGTTAAAGAAATTTCTCAGCACATGTACCCAGGTAAATCAGCAGAATCAGATTTTTCCATACCTGTTGGCTGTGTAGACGATTTTCCCGTTCAAGTTCCTCAATCTCCTCCTAAATAGAAACAACTATCAGAACCTTCGTTGTGTGGTAGTAATTGAAAAAATCTAGATTGGTTATAACATACTTGAAGTGCCAAAATATGCCGCTGTGATTGTGCTAGCTCTTCCTCTCTCTGAGCTTGTTGCCTTGCCAATAGCTGAAATTTAATTCGATATCATTACAAAACTATATGGTTGGAACATTAAGTTACTGAAGAAGGAAATGGGTGAAGAAAGGGCAGGGCCTTGTACACAATGCACAGATCGATCCTGTAAGTTTAAAGTATATGCAGAATAACAGGATGACTCAAATATCTTGTTTTGATCATCAATAAAACCATTCCAACAAAATATAGCTTGTATTTTCCACAGAAAGATTGCTTTCCACATATTAGACAATGTACAAAATACATCACTCCAATATGCAATTTCATATTAAAGAAACACAACAATTGGAAACTTTAAAGGAGTTTCCCAGGGAATTGTTCGTGTTCATGAAGAACTTGTGCTCACAATTTGAACAATTGGAATATTGAATAGTATCCACAAAAGCTATACAAAGAAAAGCAAGTACCAGATTCCATTACAGAGATTACTGTTGTGGGATAGGATAGTTTGCCTTTCTTCCTTGGATGCCATTTTTATTTGGTATTCAATCACAGAGACAATTGTTTTTATTTGATATTCGACAGGATTGTGCTGCTCTTTTATGATATTCCTTTTGCTTTCACTCCGAGGAGAATGAATTATTCTCCATCATGCTTTGGTAATTCTTTTTACTTGGTTTATATAATTTTCTTTTATCTAAAAGAATACCAAGCATGGTATAGAGCAACTCATTAAGAATGCTAGACTGGGATCATGACAATAGCATGACCAAAAAAGGGAACTAAAATGCAAGTAAACCGGCAGATGTATTCACATATATGAATCAATGTGTCCTTCAGGAATGTTTGAAACAAGCTTGTCATGCTTCAGGCACAATGATATCAAAATCAACAAGGTTATGACATATAACAGTTACGTTTCCGAGAAAAAAAAAATAGTTTCTACCAGAATCTGCTGTTCTGCAATGGAGCTTGAATTTGCTGCATCTTGTTTTTGCAAGGCTGAAAGTACCAATTCAAAAAGTACAAAAGTGAACCTAAACAACCATCATGGCAGATAAGTTCTAATTCTGACTAAAATGAGTGGAAAAGGCAAAGGAAATATCTGGATACCTGTAGTGCTATCATCATGATGATCAACCTGAGACACATGGTGAGATTAAGGATTACATAATTACAAACCACTTCATCTGCAAAAGGCTAAGTTGTACATGTATTCAAGAAAATGAACACATACTCGGGGTCTTGATTCCAGAGAATGATGAAGATTCCTATTGTCATCAACAAGTTTAGATATTTCTTTATCTTTCTCCTCCATCATTCTATCAGCGAGTTCCCGGAATGAATCATGCTCTTCCTGCAACATACGAACCAATTAATCAACAAAGAAAAATAATATAGCTATGGAAATCCCCCACCCTATCCTCTCCAAAAAAAAAAAAAAAAAAAAAAGGGGGGGGGGAAAAAGAATAATAAATATATTAATGAAAGTTACCTTAAGTTTTTTATGGCGTAGTTTAAGCTCTTCTAATTCTCTTTCTATATCTTGTCCAGAAGAAACTTCATTTTCTGCTTTCAGTGCGTCACATCTCACTGTCAATTTATCATTCCATGTAAAAATTTATTTCAAAACTTAATCAACAGGCATCTTTTGAGAGCAAAGGAAACCACAGGTTAAAATAGGGGGAAAAGATTATCAGATTAAACATGGACATATTACATCGCCATGATTCTTCCAAATTCTGAAGGTTTATTTCCCATGCTTCTTTCTCTGATTGGTGACGAACAATGGCAGAATCAAGTTTTGCTTCTATGCTCTTTATCTGTTGAATGGCGTTGTTAAGAGCTGCATCTCTGAAAGAGTTACAAAATCGAACAGCTTAATACAAATGCTTCGCACTCGTGTCCAAAGTAAAAGAATGCTGCAGAATGACATTGAATACTAAATGAACCAAAAAAAAAGTGGTGGGAACAGTTTTTGTAATCAATCATGCCCATCAAAAATAAAGCAGCATTTGAATTCCCTGCGTCCATCTTTGTGATTACTCATGCAATAAACAATTACAACAGATGCCCACAAGCACAGGGTCGTGGGGATTTGAAGAGTGGAAGAGCCTATAATAAAAGAGTGAGCAACAACTTACCTTTCAGCAAGTTCTTTATCATGATTAGCCAATGCTTCCTGAAGATCTTGAAGAGCCTTGTCCCTTTCTTCAGATGCCAATGATGCTTCTCTCTCGGCTTCCTACAGAAAGAACGAAACTTTATAATTTAACATCACCACTCAACTCAACTTATACCCTCCATGCTACTAATTGAAGAGGATCTTAGGCATGTACTTTCAGTGCTTCCTCAATAGCTTTAAGTTGTTCAGAGTCCATAGCTGCAGCTAGCTCTGCATCCTTCTTCTGAAGAAGTGTATGAGCACGGACCTTATATGAGGAAAATTCACTTTCAAGGCGGTTGATCTGCAAGATATAATTGGTAAAGTAATATATCAGGGACTAGATAAGAACATCAAAATCTACGAAACTATATGTTACAGACTAGTTGTAGTGTAGAGTCGGGACTAATATCTGAGGAAAGTATAACTAATTATGGGAATACCTCCCTAACAGAGTTCCCTTTCTGAGTTCTGACTAGTAACTAACTGGTGTTTTTAAAAAAAAAAAAAAAAAATTCCAAATTCAGCCATCTCTCTCGGATATTACAAAAGTCCAACTAGCTAACTAGTGTATCCAAAAAAATCCAAAGAAAAACCACTTGTTACCTCCTCTTTGGCAGCAAATAGTTCAGCATCTTTTTTATTTCGCATCTGGCTTTGGACGGACACTTCAAATTCCAGCTGACCTGCCAGTAAGAAAAGCATGAATATCCACTCAATCCTCATGAAAGTAGATGAAGTTAACCATAGCACTGAGATGTACTTTTCATTTTCGCTGCTTCAATTTCAGCACGTATGCAATTACTCTCAGCTAATTCCAGCTTTGTTTTCAGTGCCTGGGAGGCAGCTTCCCAACTCTCCTTTTCTTTCTCCTGAAATCATAATATTTGTGGAAATGAACTCAAGTATACATACATGTGTGTGCGCACATGCACACTACCTAGTACAATTACTAGAGAAAGAAGGAATATGATCCTATATAAATGACTTTTTGCTCCATTCTGATAGGTGTCTTCCAAACTAGTATTGCAATCTCTAATGAAGATAATTGGTTCTTTACTACCCGTTTTGTTCCATGGTTGCAGCATAAGTTCAGGCATTTTGATCACGGTTGTAACCTCAAAAATTTATCAAATTATGATATGAACAGGCCAACAGTGGAAGGATTCAGAAAATAACTTCAGGCAGGCGAATGATCTCAGCCTAAGACATTTAGCACTAAATCAAATTTACTATACAAGACAGAAACCAAGGAAGACAATTTGGAGCAATCCATCATGAACACCAGCAACATTTTACAGGTCCCATGTTCAGCTGTTCATGCTATGGCATTTGGGGGGCAATTAATCTCCAAATTTCCATATTCCTCATCCTAAATTTCAATTCATACATGCTCGTGTTTTTGATGAGCAAGCTCTCCTTTTACACTTTCCAAAGCAGCTCTTAGCCGTGCTGTCTCACCACTTGAGGCTGCATCCATCTCTGCAATCTTAGACTCTTTCTCTGCAACTATCACCTGCAAAATATATCACCACTTAAGAGGAAAAATCTTTCTGAAATTTTTCTTATGTATCAAGCAGCCACCTTGATTAAACTAGTACATGTTACACACATCAAAACCAGATGCAATCCCTTTGAATGGTGATTTAAGTACTACATGTTAAATGAGGAGGTTGACACCACAAGAATATAACTCATTACATGCTGCTTCTCTTTGAATTCTGAAACAGAGTTAAATAAATAAGGAAAAGTCTCACCTGTAGTTGGGATATAGTTTCAGCAGCCTTGTTCCTATCTGCCAAAACATCAGCAATTTGGCCTTCCAAGTTCTCTATATTCTGATTGAAAATATAAACAGGAGTAAAGTTATGGCACACTTTGTACAAAATGATATCACAAAGAAAACCACCCTTTCTATTTTTTTTAAAAAAAAAAAAAAAACCTAGATTTAAGGCATCTGAAACAAATTACCTTCTGATGTTTAGAAGAAAGCTCGGCCATCGAAGCTTGTTTTTTTCTTCTGCAGATTGTAGTAACCCTTGCATGTCTTCCAGCATCTAAATGTAAAGCAAGTAAACGAGTTTTCAAAGCCTTGTTTTTAGCATAAACAATTAAGCAAACATATACATAGACAAGCATAACTACCCAGTACCTGTTCTTTCTCCAAAAGCATCTGTTGTAATTCCTCAAGAGCACTTTCTTTAGGTTGCAATGAACGGCGCAATTCCTCAATATTGTCACGGAGTCTGTACATCAATACATTTTTGCAGCATTTAGAAAATAAAATTCCATGATTCTACATGTAGATATTCAGATATCAAAAATAGAAAGATGTTCCCTTTAATCAGCCAATAGAAGGATGTTGATTGAAATTTAATGCTGAAAGAAAGTTACATCAGTTTCAGTCTAGCATGCAGATGCATTATATTGACTTTATGGTGCCAAATGAATTCTAACGAAGGACAACAAGGTGATCTGTAATGATCTTGCAACTTATTCATCATCTGTTTACAATATTCAATATGAAACTGAACTTGTCATCTGTTTAAGACATTCAACAAGAAATTGAACTTGTTTCAGAATGAGATGAAGAGACACAACGGAGAATTTGCCAGTCTTTGAGCAAGAGGTTAGATCAGCATGGACTAAAATCAACAAAGGCCCAATCCCAACTGCTGGGAAAAACTAGAAGTGCAAGTGGACATGCACAACCACACACAGATAGGAAGAGGGTTTTAGTTCCACTGCATCTTAATGCCTTGGAAAACTTCCCATGTGATCTTGCGGGGGGTGGAATGGAGCAATTTGCATAATTTTGTTCCCCAAGCAAGAGATCAAATCACTAGGAACTCAACTCAACAAAACCCTCCCAACTACTTGGAGAAACAATGAAAAAACATGTTCCAGCACATAATCCCACAGAGAGAATTTAATTCAATTGCAGTTAACTCGGCACTTCATGAGCAAATAACAAGGGAAGTTTGGTAGGGATTTGTGATGGAAAAAGCACTTGATATAAAATTTAGACAGTAACATGCAAAGACAGATTACACTAGCTTCTCCCATAAACTGCAACTATGAGCACATGTTCACAAGGGATTTTTGATGGAAAAACCACTTGATATAAAATTTAGATATTAACATGCAAAGACAGATTACACTAGCTTCTCCCATAAACTGCACCTATGAGCACATGTTCACAAGTTCGCATAGGTGGACAGTGCATGGTTTTGATACTTGTGTACAAAACAAATTTAATTTAAGTTCCCTTCAAAAAGGAATAAAAAAATCTTGGCATGTAGGCAATTAGAGAATTACTTATTGTTTGCACTTCTTAATTGTTGCCTCTCTGCATCCATTGCCTTCAATGCTTCATTTGCTTGTTGTCTTGAGCGCTCCAGCTCTTGCTTTAGAGATGACTGTTGTGATGATGCTCGCTCAGCAGCTTCATTTACATCACGAAACCGGGCTTCAAGGTCATCTTTTTCCTGAAAATGACAATCTCCAAACAACATCTGAACTCAGTTTCTGCACAATTGCAAGAACTCTTTCATTCTTTTCTTTCTTTTCTTTTCTTTTCTTTTTTTTTTTTTTTTACATAAAAATCCAACTATACATGTGTGCAAATTCGAATGTATGTACACGCACTTAATAGTTATGTAATTTGCTCTCCTCCATGTTAACAATTAGCACACAAGCACAAAGAAATTAGATGATAAACTACATAGAAAAAAAAAATGCTATTCTTGCTGACGTGCATCTTAACATTTTAATTTGGAAAGATAAGATTGCAAATAGTCTTTTTTTTTTTTTTTTTTGGTTAAATGATTACATTACCTCTAGGGTTGAACAGTATAAAAGCATCATAAGCAAGTAAACCACATCAAACAATCCAAAGACAGAATTTACCTTTTGAACCTCCTGAATACGCTGTTTCGCTCTTTTATGAAGCCTTTGTAATTTTGAATCAAGTTCAGAATATTTCTCCTCACGTTCTTTTATTTCTTGATCCAATTTCTGTTGAGCTACGCAAAGAAACCAGGAAATGTATTTAAGATGAAGGCAGATAAATGGATAATGATATTATTACATAAACTACAGAAAAGAAATTGTGAAATTATAACAACCTTCTATTCCCTTTTTAAGATTTCTATAAGGCAAACCAGACCTCAAGCCTCTAGCACCTGGCTATTATGTTCATTTCTTTAAAGCAGAATTGGTTCTCTATGAACAAAATGATGAAGTGTTAAGAATATCTTTAGTGGAAGGAGTTTTAAATATGAAACAACATAATATAAGCTAACAAATTCTGCACTATCAGGTAAAATAGATCCTATTGGATAGATTTGTAAAACCTCCAAATAAACAGGAAAAAAATATCTGACCTTCAGTAAGCTTTAAGGAGAGTTCTTGGGCTTTTGCATCTGCCTCAGAGTATTCCTCGCGAAGATGCTCCAAAGCCACTTCTGCTGCTTCTCGTGTTTGTTTTTCCTCATTAAGTTCTTTATTCAAAGACTCGATCTTTTCCCGTAATTCTTTCACATCAGCAGACTCCCCGCTTTCCTGACCACTTGCTTCTGCTTTCTGCTGAGAACCATCATCTTTTACTTGAAGATTATTCAATACCTCAAGCTGAGACTTCAAGAACTCATTCTGAAACTTCAGCTCAATAACCATCTGTACAAGCTGCTCATGCCTGCTCTCGTCCAACACATTGTCATCATCACACAACCCATTTTCCATACGAACCTCCACATTGCTAGGCGCATCGTCAGACAACTGTTTCTCTAACTTTAAGGACGAAGCTTCAATTTTACTCTCCAGCATTTCACCAACACTGCTACTTTCCTCTGCTGACATTATCCCACTCTCTCTATATATATAACGACCGAGTAACAACAAACTCTCAAATCTTCACGCAAAAACCCTAAACAAAATAGAAGCATAAAAATACTAATGAGAGCGACATAACTCACTCCACTTCACGAAACTAAGCAAGACCAACCAAAATAAGCAATTTGAAACAACACTTTTTCTTTGATTAATTAGCAGAAACACTGAGAAGAAGCAAGAAAATAGAAATCTTTGAAAGAAGCTTGAATATGAACCGGCATTACAACGATCAAATTTAGATCCAATGCTAACATAAACAAACGTGGAAATTATGATTCAATCATAGAATTAAAATATCTCAATATTAAAATTTCACTAAAAAAAAAAAGCTCCAGACTTTCTAGCTCGATAAAATAAATAAAATTGAAGCCATCTCTCTTTCTCTCTATAGTGTTCTTTAATAGAAGTATCCAAACACTACAGGGAATTGAATTCATTATTACTTTTAAAGCAGATTCAAAATGAAATCGTGATGATTATGAAAATTGTACCTGTGGAGGTGGAGGAGGAGGAGGAGGAGGAAGAGGAAGAGGAAGTGGTAGGTTGCTTTGCTGGAGAGATCTAGAGAGATAAAATTTCAAATCCCTAATTTGCGATTTGAAGGAACTGTGAAGAAAAGTGAGACCACAGAGAAGAAGATGATGATGATCATGGGATCTCACGCTAGATTTCGCGCGAGAGTCCGGATTACTAAAAACGTTACCGTTTAATCCGAACTTCCGTGTCTCTGCAAATTTTTCATTTTTGAAGTTATATGACGGGATGATTTTCGGTCCTTTGGGATCGGAGTAGGACAAAGGAACATTTAAATTTTTTCAAGGGTGTTTTAGTAATAATGGATAGTGATTTTTGTTTTAATATGTTTTTCTTTCTGTTATTTTTTGCTAATTCCCCACTTATTAGGATTTTCTGCAATAACTTAAATTAAAAAAAATTCTTTTTATTGAAATAAATTAAACGGATGAATTATAAATTAGTCCCTCTTATTTTGAAAAATTAATTAATTAATCTCTCTTGTTTTAAAACTAATTATTTAATCTTTTTAACCAATATTAAAAACAACTAATTTAAAATTTTTATTTTATTTTATAAAATATCTCTTTTTGTGATCATTCTTTCTATACTTTTACTTTTTTTATTTCTTTCTATTTCTTAAAAAAAATTAAAATAAATTGAGAAATAGTAAAATGACTAAACGATTAGTTTTTAAAATTAGATGAATTAATTAATTCATTTCTCAAAACGAAAGGGCTTAATTTATAATTTACTATAACTTAAACTTATCATAACTTGGTTATTGAACTTCAAAGTAAAATACCGATACAAATTTGAAGCCATTCTTTCAACCATCGAGGATGGTAGAAGTTATTTTTTCAATTTATTTTATGAGTTCTTTTTTTTAAGTTTTTTAATGTTTTTATCGGATATTATAATATGTAGAGATATGAAGATGGAAAACGACATAAAATTTAAAAACGTAAAAGTAAAATTATAAAAATAAATAAATATACTTTTCATTTATTATTTGATAGTGAAGTGTGTAATTAGAACTTTTTGGAAACTTATGGTTGGTATTGGAAAATTTTTAAACAACCGAGATGGTAACATGGATGAATGTAATGGCGAGAAAAGAATTGCCCATTTATGTATCTATTGGCATTGAATAAGAGTTCTTCTACCATTTTGTCTCCAAAAAATTATCTTTACTCTTATTATTATTATTATTATTAGAAGATTTAAAAGCTATAAGACTACATAATAGAAGTATGCCTTTTACTACAAGAAAACATAAGAAAATTGAAATCACTAGCATCAAACGCACTTCTTAATAGATAACTAATACACTAAAATCATGTATAATGATATTTGTAAACAAGTTTATTTGATACTTGTAAAAAAATTATAAACTTTATCAAATTTCTTATTCCAAAAATGAAAGAAGTTATTTCAAGAGCAAAGCATTAACTTAGAAGAAAATCTAAGCCAACTAAAATTTACTAATTGGACTTGTTGTATGAATGAATGTCACGTCTGTAGTATTGGTCGTAGTATTTGAAGATTTGATTGATGGTACATTTATTTGTCCAAGCTCTTCTTTCTTTCAATTTGCTACAATAAAGCGAACCATGATCCATATAATGATGCTTAATGTCAACAAAGCGAGCATAATCATGAACCAACACATAGCCAAACTCTAACTTTCTTTTTTGAAGTCTTATATTAATTTAATAATCAACCCCATTGACAATTACTTCTCCAAGTTGACATACATTGCTTGGACTATTTGTTTAGGTTCGGTGCTAGCCATGCTAGCTAACGACGACTTGTTGGGTTTCCTTCATAGTTGGAGGATGGCCCGAAGGTTTGCCTACATGAGCCTAATCTTGAGCCCATGTAGAGGAGAAATTTTTAATCACTTAAAAGGTAGTTTTGATGTTTCCAAATAAATCTTATATTTTCTTTTATTTTGAAATCGGATTAGGGAAGAAGGAAGAGAGAGGAAAAAAAAGAACCGCGACTTTAGAGAGAAAGAGAGAAGAAAATTTTAGCACGGACTAGGCATGCATAAATTGAGTTTCTAGATTTGTTAATCATTAGATTGAGCTGAAATTTGGTGGGCATGTTCACGAGAGACGGACGCAAATTTTGAATGGTGGAGAACTAGTTTTGATCCTGGAGAGTGAGATATAATGCTCACAACGAGTGCTATTTTCTAGTGAAATGCGAACTAGGTTTCTTCTCTTTTCTTTGTATATCATCTATTGATGTGGTTTGCTAAGGGTGTATAACATTCGATGTTTGTGGTCGATGTATTCTTCTAGTTTAATCTAGAGAGGAGTCCTTGTATTGTCCATTATTGTTGATAGTTGAAGTTATTATGGACTCCGGTCCTATGATTTTTTCCTTCTCAAATTGAGGAGGTTTTCCATGTAAACATTTATGTGTTCCTTGTGTGATTGGTATTTTATTTTTCAGATTATTAGTTACTTGTTTTGGCTCGGATATTTGGTTATAGCACTGTGCTTGATTGTTCAAGCAAGGACAAAAAGGTTTCGTTGTGTTATTTATGTTTCTTTGCCCAACAAGTGGTATTAGAGCTTGATTGCTTATTTTCGAGTTTGAATAATATGGAGAGTAACATTAAAATGATAAGTTTGAATAGAATCAATTATCACGAGTGAAAGAGAAAAATGAAAGTTTTGTTGTATGTAAAGAGTTGGCATCTACATGTATTTACTTTGGATAAACCTAAGATAAAAACAGATGAGGATTAGGCATTTGAGAATGAACAAGTTTGTGCTTTTATTCATCAATACATTGATGATAATGTTTCTAATTATGTTGCGGAAGAGGTGAATGCAAAAACTTTGTAAAAAAGTTTGAAAGATCTTTTTGCCAAAGAAATAGGGAATAACAAGATGTACTTGATTAAGCAATGAATGAATTACGGATATAAAGAGAGAACTTCGATAGCTGATCACATTAATGAGTATATGTGAATTATTCAGCAAAAGAATGCCATGAGAATAGAAATTGATGATAAGGTACTTAGGTTGTATTTGCTTAGCTCATTATTGGATTCTTGGGAGACATTTCGTACATCACACTCGTAATTCTACTCTTGATGGGAAGATAACCTTAACCTATGCTAGAAATTGGGTTCTCAATGAAGAGGTCGGAAGGAAGACTCAAAATTCTTCTTCTCGGTCGATGTGCTAGTTACTTGTAGAAAAGGAGATGAGTAAAAGTAAGGGTCCAAAAGACGAGGTAAGAGTAGAAGCAAGTTTGGGGGCAAGTTTACAAATGTGGAGTGCTATCATTATGGTGATATGGGTCCCATTACAAAATATTATTAGAAATTAAAAAAAAGACAACAAGAAGAACAAACTAAGCGGAATGACGAGTGATGTTGTTGAAGATCGAGTTAATGTAACTTATGAGTTCCTAATTGCATATGATACTAATGAAGTTAACATAGCATCAAATGAGCATAGTTGGGTGGTTGACGATGAGCTTCGATACATGCTACATCTCGCATGGAGTTTTTTAGCCTATACACGCTTGGTGATTTTAGGACGATAAGGGTTAGCAATAATGGGTTGTCCAAAATTATTGGCATTGAAGATGTGTGCTTAGAGACTCATACTAGAGTAAACTAGTTCGAAAAATATGAAGCATGTTCCCGACTTTCACTTGAATTAATCTCAATTGGAAGACTTGATGATGAAGGGTTTTATACATTTAAAAATACTATGTGGAAGGCTGTCCGAGGGTTTTATTATAGTGGCAAAAGGAGAAAAGTGTTTCTCTTTATATGTCATGCATGCTAAATTATTGAATGATGATGTGAATAATGTCGAAGTGAAGAAACTACCGAACTATGGCACAAGAGATTGGCTTATATGCCTAAGAAAGGAATGGCGGTGTTGAAAAAAAAGTTATTGTCTTATATGCGGGATAATCAATTAAAGAAGTGTTCGTATTGCTTGGCTGAAAAACATAATAGAATTTCCTTTAAGAGTCGTCCACCTATAAGGAAACGAATTGTATGGACCTATGAAGACAATGTCAAAAGGTGGTTCTTATTACTTTGTGACATTCATAGATGATTCCTCGAGGAAGGTATGGGTTTATACATTGAGATCAAAAGATCAAGTTTTTGGTGTTTTCAAGTAGTTTCACGCTTTGGTAAAAAGACAAACGGGGAGGAAGCTTAAATGTATCCGAACCAACAACGATGGTGAATATCTAGGCCTTTTTATGAGTACTTGTAAGACTTAAGGCATTAAGCATTAAAAGACTCCACCAAAAATACCTCGGTTGAACGGGTTAGGCTGAAAGGATGAATATGACTTTAGTTGAGAGAGTTAGATGCTTACTTTCTCATACGCAATTGCCTAAGTCATTTTAAGGTGAGGTATTAAATACTTGTTGTTTATTTAATAAATCTTTCACCTTGTGTGCCTTTGTCATTTGATGTTCCGGACGGGGTTTGGAATGATAAAGATATATCCTGTGATCACTTAAAAGTTTTTGAGTGCAAGGCATTCATGTACATTCCTAAAGATGAGAGATCTAAGTTTGATGTGAAGAAAAAGTAGTGTATCTTCTTAGGGTATGGTCAAAATGAGTTTAGCTACAAGTCTGTATGATCCAAATGAAAAGAAGATAGTCGAAGTTGTGATGTTATATTTCTAGAGGATCAAACCATACAAGATATTGAGAAGACGAGAGCGGACAGATGGCGAGCCTTATGATGATCTAGTAGATATAGAGCCGATTGAACCGAGTTCATTCTACACCAATAGCTAAGCTAGTTGAATATGATATGCAAAATGATTTATATATTGAGTCAAGATCACGGAATGATAATGATTTACAAGACAATAATCAAATTCATGATGATGTATCGAATGATGAACATGATCAGATAATTGAACGGGGTGATGAACATGTTCCATCGAAACTTTACTTAAACGATCTAATAGAGATCGAAGACCTTCTACTAGGTACTCTACTAATGATTATGTGTTGTTGATCGATAATGGAGAACTTGAATCCTACAAAAAAGCAATAGAAGTTGAGAACAAAAAGAAGTGGATTAAAGCCATGAATGATGAGATAAAGTCTTTACATGACAATAATATCTTTGAATTGGTAAGACTACCCAATGGTAAAAGAGCTTTGAAAAATAAGTGGGTGTTTAGAATCAAGCATGAAAAACATACCACATATACTAGATTCAAAGCAAGATTAGTGGTGAAGGATTTCATTCGGAAAAGAGGTATTGATTTTGAGGAGATATTTTCTTCGATGGTGAAGATGTCATCTATTCGGTTATTCTCAACCTAGCGACAAGTCCGGACTTGGAAGTTGAATATATGGATGTCAAGATAGCCTTTTTACATGATGACTTAGAAGAGGAAATTTACATGGAATAACTAGAGGGGTTTCAGTTGAAAGGCAAGGAAAACCTTGTGTGAAAATTGAATAAAAGTCTTTATGTTTTGAAGCAATCTCTAGGCGAGTGGTATAAGAAGTTTAACTCGGTTATTAAGGAACAAGGCTATACGAGAACCACATCAAATCATTGTGTTTATGTGCATAAATTTTTTTATGATGACTTTATTATCTTGTTGCTTTATGTAAATGCTATCTTAATTGTTAACGGGAATGCTTCAAGGATAGGCGACTCGAAGAAGCGGTTGAACAAGTTCTTTAACATTAAGAACTTAGGGCCAAGAAAGCAAATTTTAGGCATATGCATTGAACGTGACAAAGCAGCTAAAAGATTGTACTTATCTCAAGAGAAGTACATTAAGAAGGTACTCTAGAGATTCAAGATGGACAAAGCTAAAGTGGTTAACTCTCTTCTTGCAACCCACTTTAAGCTAAGCATCCAACAAAGTCCTTCTACGGATAAGGAGAAGGAGGAGATGCAAAGAGTTCCACATGCTTCGACTATTGGGAGTTTGATGTATGTCATGATATGTACAAGGCTCGATATTGCTTTTATTGTTGGGTAGTTAATAGATTTTTGTCAAATAGAAAAAAGGAGCATTGAAATGTAGTAAAGTGGATAATACGATACCTCGGAGGCACAAACAATTTGAAGTTGTCTTATGGTGCTAGGAAATTAGACTTGATTGGCTAGACTGATTCGGACATGGCGGAAGATATTGATTCTTGCAAGTCAACATTTAGATGTTTGATTACTTTTGCGAGGGAGTCGTAGCTTGGCAATCTAGATCGTAAAAATGTGTTGCTTTTTCCACCATTGAGGCATAATTCATTGCGACGAATGGAACCTTGTAAAGAGTTGCTATGGATGAAGAAATATGTCTAGGAACTTGACTTCAAGCAAGATAGGTATGTATTATTTTGTGATAGTTAGTGTGTTATCCACCTTAGTAAAAATTCTACATTTCATGCTAGATCGAAGCACATTGATGTTCGATACCATTAGATTAGAGATGTTTTGAATTCTCGATTCTTTGGAACTTTAGAAAATCCATACCGATGATAATGGCTCGATATGTTGACTAAAGCATTACCAAGGGAGAAAATTGAGGGTTGTCGTTCGGTCGTCGAGATGGCGAATACCTCTACCTCGTTTTGAGGGAGAGATTTGTTGGATTTCCCTCCTAGTTGGAGGATGGCCCAAAGGCTTGCCTACGTGAGCCTAATCTTGGAGCCCATGTGGAGGAGAAATTGTTAGTCACTTAAAGGGTAATTTTGATATTTTTAAATAAATCTTATCTTCTCTTTTATTCGAAATCGGACGAGGGAAGAAGGAAGAGAGAAAAAGAAAAGAAAAGGAGAGAGAGTTGCAACTTTAAAGAGAAAGAGAGAAGAAAATTTCAGCATAGACCAATCACGTATAAATTGAGTTTCTAGGTTTGTTAAGCTGTTGGATCAAGCTCAAATTTGTTAGGCACGTTCGGGAGAGACGGACACACATTTTGAACGGTGGAGATTTGGTTTTTATCCTGGAGAGTGAGATATGATGCTCACAACAATGTTGTTTTCCGGTGAAATCCGAACTTGGTTTCTTCTCTTTTCTTTGTGCATCATCTATTGATGTGGTTTGCCAAGGGTGTATAACCTTTGATGTTTGTGGCCGATGTATTTCTCTAGTTTAATCTAGATGGAACTCCTTGTATTGTCCATTATTGTTGATAGTGGAAGTTATTGTGGACTCCGGTCTCGTGGTTTTTCCCTTCTCAAATTGAAGAGGTTTTCCACGTGAAAATTTATATGTTTCTTGTATGATTGGTATTTTATTTTTTAGATTATTAGTTACTTGTTTTTGCTTGGGTATTTAGTTGTAGCTCTGTGTTTTATTATTCAAGCAAAGGCAAAGAAGTTCTATTGTCTTAGTTGTGTTTCTTTACCCAACAACACTTTGACAACCTTTGATATTTGTGGTTGATGTATTCCTCTAATTTAATCTAGAGAGGACTCCTTGTATTGCCCATTATTGTTGATAGTGGAAGTTATTGTGGACTCCAATCCCGTGATTTTTTCCTTCTCAAATTGAAGAGGCTTTTCACATAAAAATTTGTGTATTTCTTATGTGATTGATATTTTATTTTTTAGATTATTAGTTACTTATTTTGGCTTGGGTATTTAATTATAGCCTGTGTTTGATTGTTCAAGCAAAGACAAAGAGGTTTTGTTGTATTATTTGTATTTCTTTACCCAACAACACTTTGGCAGCCACCAAGGGTCCGATCGAACAGTGTCCTACGGGCAGTTTTTGACCTTACATTCAATTTGTTACCTTTTCCATCTAACGAACCTCCTTCAGCTAGTATAACTATTCTTCGCAGTGGGGGGTCAAATGGAAAGAAAAAGTTCTTCCAGAAAGAAAAAAAAAAAAAAAAAAAAAAAAAAGAACAATGAAGAATTGTAGAAGAACCTGTATTATAAAGGACTATAAATGATAACCTATTACAACTATTATAAACTTGTTCTTTGATTATTTTTCAAGTTAAATGCTGTCTATAGACTATAGTACATTTTCTCCCCCGGACAACTGCTGACACTGGCGGAGGAGATCTACACCTACATGAATCTTCAAGTACCCTTGTCATTTTTTCACCGATGCAGAGCATCTGAAAAATCAAAGTAATTGATTCAGTAATATTTTCTCGAAAAAGCAAATTTTCTTGCTGCATAAATAAAGACACTCTGGGAAATAGATGCCAAATTTATGTCCTGAAAGCTATCGAAAACTACAGCAGCCAATAGATACCAAATATTTTAAGCCAATAATTACTGAGATGACGACCGTGGCATCACCTATTAGCTATTCTCAATAGCCATAAAACAAAATTAAATAAATAAATAAAAACCAGAAAGGTAGCACTTACCAGTTACTGCTGGATCTTCCCTCTCTAAAAGTAACGGCCAGATTTTCAAAAAATTCTTTGCTAGCATCTGTAATTCAACATAAGCGTAAGAACAAAAGATTTGAACATGTGTGCAAAAATCAGATTATCTCAATATTGTCCAGAAGAACAACTCTCAATTTTCAGTCCTATTTAAAAGGTCAGCATAAATGCTGAATGCACTTCAAGAACATTAGATGCATGCTTCTTTGCCAACAGGTGTTTACTGTCCTAAAATCAGATTTCTGCATATTTCACACCAAATTTGCAATATTGGGATATTGAATGAACTGGGAATACTTAATCTGTTCAATAGCTTTGGCCCAACAAATGTATGAGTTCAGACCATCCTAATCATTTGATAAATACTTCTACATGTTTAGCTAACAAGAAAATCAAACTGGCTCTCCTCTCCTATTATAGCCATTCTTTATTCCAAAATTAGGTCACTTACACAGATTAATTAGGCACATGCTACCTCACAAAAGTTATAGCTATGCGCTGGATAAGCATCATCTTCCTCTACTGTTCAAATGCAGACAGGAACAGCAAGTCCCATCCAAACGTGAAAATAGGAAATATGCAGGGAGGAAGAGAGATGATATTCTCCACGCTCGTACACAAGACGTACCATGATTCATTGTTAGAGATGGATCCTTCTCATCCATGTATCCAATCACCTTTGCCGGCGTTCCTGCCACCATGCTTGAAGATACCAAAACAAAAAGAAACTGAGCACATCAGGCAGATACAGTTATGAGAAAAATAATTCCATAAACTAGCAATTTCTGATATGATTATACAATATAAATTTGTCATCTCACCTGTGTGGGGGAACATCTTTTAAGACAAGAGAACCAGCAGCTATCATAGCCCCTTCACCTATTTTTATATTCCCAAGTATTGTCACACAAGCTCCAATTAGTGCACCATCACCTAATTTTGGATGCCGATTACCAATTTCTTTCCCTGTCCCTCCTAAAGTAACACCCTGCTTAACATCTTTGTTATTAAGATAATGCAACTATGCAATAGCAAATAAACAAGGTATCTCACGCACATTGTCCCTTACAAAATTCATTCCTCCACCTACCGAAACAATTAATCATATTATGGGCCAGATACAATTTTCAAGACACAGTTTTACTGCTAAGCAGGAGGCAGCTAAAACTTTTGAAACTTGAGAATGATTGAAAGTCTTGCTTTCCAAAAAGTGGTAACATAACAAAATCAAATTTACAGTTGAGAGTATAAAATTTCTAGTCATTTCCCAGTAGTATTTACACCAACTTATCAAGGACGTAAAACCTCAAACAATATAAAAATAAGGGAGAAAAACAGTAAATAAGAAACATAGAAACAAAATAGAAAGCTCTTGGGAGAGTGGGGAAATTGGGGCTGTGACTAGTAGCACAACTTAACAAGGCATTGCACCAATGCACCCAACTCGGGCAAGGTATCAACATAATAGCACCCAAATTAATTGACATGAAATAACAGTAGGAGAGAAGGATCAGGCTGACTTACATGCATCAATGAGACTCTGTTTCCAATGACGGCAGTTTCACCAACAACCACACCCGTCCCATGATCCAATAATATGCCCTCTCCAATTCTGGCACCTGCAAAGTGAATGAAAAAGGTCAAATATGGCTTACAAGCAGTCAGACACAATATCTTCATTATTCGATACAAATAAGAAGGCACAATGCATCATTCAAGAATAAATTCCTCAATTAATATAATTTATTAACAATTGCTTTTGCAGCAATTGGACGTTAATACCCTGCCTGAGATACACTTAACATGCTTTCTAGAAAACTTCCAACAAAACTATCTCTCTCGAATGTAAAATTATCCACACTGATTTTTTCCAGAATTCAATAACAGGATGTCTACAGTATAAAATGGCATGGAACATGTAAATAAATAATAAACATACCTGGATGTATGTCAATGCCAAAAACCTGGCAGAATAACAATTAAATTATGAAAAGATAAACAAAAACAGCACCCTATAAAAAAGGAAATAATAGTATAATACAGATTATTACTATTATTTAGTATCCAACTACCTCACTGATTCGGCTTTGCAGTGCCAGGGCCAGTACTTTCCGTCCTTGATTCCACAAAACATGTGCCACTCGATAGGATTGCAGGGAATGGTAACCCTATAAGAGCAAAATAACATGCCACATGATGATATCATTGCCTATTTCAATTCCAACACTTCACATTTACATCAGCAGAGCTAAGACTTCGATGATTAAGGGTGAACACAGACTATCCTTGCTTCCCAACTCCCAGAAAAGAAATAAGATCAATGAAAAAGCATTGGCACCAAAAGTTCTCACCACCACTTCCAGCATCTGATAAGGAAAAAAGTGATTACCTTCAGATATAATAGAGCAGAACTGTATGACAAACAAGCAGGATCTCGGTCTTTAAATGCCTAGGGGAAGAAAGATTTCCAACGTTAAGATAAGATTCTCTATTCTTGTTAATCAAACACATCTATAAGCATGGGCATGAATTCTGTGAATTGATAAGGAATTTACCTGCATATCTAGGCGAATAGAATGCCGAATACCACTATCCTTCATGATTACGTTAGAAATTGTATCCAATAACTGGGTTGCCAATAGAGTAGTATTTTGGAGCCTATTTGCAAGAACAAATGCCAATGCTTGCTCTAAGCAATCATGCGACAGAATACTAGCATACAAAAAGCTACTCAAAATGGGTTCCTTTTCCGCCTGCAGTATTTTGTTGCAACTGTATCAGTAGGAGATTGTAATTTCAGAAAACAAAATGCTATCCCTGGACCTCAAAATCAAACACATTGCATATTCATCCAACAAAATCATTACAAGTACAGCAAAAAACAGCAGCAGGAACAGATTCTTTGTCTCCGTAAATAATCACAAAAATACAATCTTCACTGGACATGCTCCAAAGCTCCATTCAATTATAAACTAAGGAGAATACAAACTGAAACAAACACAATTTCCCAAAATTGATCAAAATAGTTTCAATTATTAATCTTTCAGGCAAACTCTCATATGTCATATTCTCTCAATTTTTTCCACAAACCCTGTGTAGCAACTAAATCATCATTGCACCAAACAATAATTTAGACAACCAGAAAACAAAGTTAAAGAACTTAGATATATCAAAGCTCAAGCTTTTACCACCAATATTTAAGAGTTCAATATCCATCTTCTGACTTAACAAGTCTGTATCATTGATTAAGCATTTAATCAATGATCAGACTATCCAGCCACACACGAATTCTGCATAATTAATAACTAAAAAAAAAAAAAAACAAAACTTTGAAACTGAACATCAATATCCCACCAAGAAAAAATAATCGAAAACTCAAAAGAAACGATTTAAAAAAAAAAAAAAGAAAAAAAAAGAAGAGCAGGTTACCTCTAACTTAGCCTCTTCTCTAACAGCATCCCAGATAGGGTCGCGTGAATCAGCAGGCAATAAAACAGCGTCTGATTCAGGCTTCAAAAACCCCATTGCATAAACAGGAAAAACCTTCTCGAATGGGAAATTTGTAGAGTCTGAAGCAAAAGAATTTGTGGGTTCTTCTCCATTCCCTTCGTTTTCTTGCCCTTCCTGGATGGATAATCGTTTTGATAACATTGATGAAACCCAAAGCTCATCGCTTAAACAAGCCATGAAAGATGGAGAAGAAGCTAAAAAGTAAACAAGGGTTCTAATTTTTATATTGAGACAGATGAATGAATGAAAGGATTTGCGGAACAGAAAAATAAATAACGACTGTGAATGGAAGACAAGTGGTGTAACAGTGGCCCTTTTAGCAGCCACCAGGTTGCCTTTTTATTGATGTTGTTTTGTTTTGTTTTGTCTCATGACAGAAGAGGAGAGATAGATGGGTCATGGGTGTTTAGGTGCTTTGTAATGGATGAGAGTGGAGGTGGACATGGTCCATGAAAGGCAAATGTTAGATGTGATTTAGTGTTTTTGCTAGTCATGGATTCTGCTTCTCTGCGTGTCAAAATCAATTCAATAGTTTTCATATTTAAAATCATTCTCTTTTTTATTTTGTTTCAGGACTTGGGTATCGATGCCCTTGTCTATTTTCTAAGTTGTTAGGGTAAATGTATTTTTTCGGATCAATATCCATCCATAATGATATATCTACATATATTTCTAAAAATTATTTTCTTTTACATTTTTATGTAACGATTCTGTATTTTTCTCTGGTTGAGTTAAAAATCGACCATCTGGGTCTTGATGATGATGTGCAAAGTGAACATGCTTACCATCCGGTTGTGTTCTTGAAACCAATTGTGATTCCTTTTCCATAAATTGCTATATTTTCAACGGTTGATAAATTTTATACCATGTACGTTGATTGATGGATTGTAAGATTCCATTTTTTTCTTCGAAAGCATTCATTAAGGTAGCAATTGTCTTTTTGCAAATTCGGTTATGCATGTTTGACTCTATTGACTACAGATCTAGGGGATGCTTGTTTTGTGTAGAAATTTTAAGAAAAAAATGAGTTTTCTTTTTTTTTGAAAAAAATGTTTTTCGAAAAATCGGTAGATGTAAAATATTTAATAACCAATCTATAAACCTAGTTTATTTATATTAAAAAAATTATTATCAGATCATAAAATATTTTATGAAAAATAATAAACGTTTTAGCAACGGTTTTACGACGGCCCAAGAATCGTCGCTAAAAACTTCATTGGTCTTTTTTAGCGACGGTTTAGACCGTTGCGAAATTAACGACGGTCCAAAACATTGCTATTCCGTCGCTAAATGTCGATGTAAACGAGTTAGGACATTAGCGACGAGTTCAGTAAACCCTTGGTATGACCGTTGCTAAATAGCGACGGATTAGCAACGGTCTTGACCGTCGCTAAATAGTTAGCAACGGTCAATTTGGTAATGGTTCGGACCATTGGTGATATTTATTTTTAGCGACGGTCCGGACCGTTTCTAATACCATCGCTAATTAAAAAAATAAATTTATTTAAAATAATAATAAAATGAGGTCAAAGTAACAATTTTAAAGTAGCAAAAATCTCGTAAAATATCGTAAACGTAAATTTTTATTATTCAAAATGTATTAAAACGTCGCTAAACAATTACGTTATTGTTAAATAAAAAACAAGTACATCGATTGCGGTTAATACAAGAAAACATAAAATCTAAAATAAGTTAATGTCTAGGATCGGTCGGAGGTCGGGTCGAGTCGTTGTCGATCTCGGGAATGGCGGATGAACTACCACCACGCTCAAAATGCCGCATGAACATTTGTTGCATCCGTGACATCGTCGTAAACTCGCTCTCGACTATTGTTTCTCAACTCAATCGTGGTATCCAACAACGATGTCACTTGGCCCCGTAGGTCGCTCACGTACCCTCTAAGTCGTGGATGTGCGTCGTGTTTGTAGATATTTGCTCTTGAATTTCCTTCAACCGTGCCTCGTCACCGCATTGAATCCGAAAGTAGCAGAAGATGAGCCCGCATTGACATTTGAATAATAGTGAGATGCATGTGAGCCGAGTCCATACATCCTCTTCCTCCTACTATCTCCTCCACCAACGACCCTTTGAAAGATGTCATTAATGTCGGGTGCGGTCGCTTCGGTCCCTCCCGACCGTCGCCTAGCAACCTCTTCCTCATTAATTAATCTTTGTACGGTCTCCTGTATAATTATGAAACACGTCACATCAAATACGGTTGTCAAATAACGTTATTAACTAACGGATATTAAATAATGTTTCAAATTTATCATTTACTCCGATAACCCTCGATCGTTGATCGACGAAGACTAACCGATCATTAACCTTTCTCCGATGAGTCTTCAAGAAAACCTCGTGAGGATCGGGTTCACGACCCAACACATTACGTTGAAAACATATATAAATAAACGTAAATGTATTAAATATAGTCGGATGTTTAATTAATTATTTTGGGTATTATTTTTTAAAAAAATTATAAATAAATTAAATAATATATATTTTTTACCATGCGTATGGCGTGCTCTCTATGGCCGATTGATCCCCCCGTATGTCTAGAAGGACCCGGCTCCGACTCCACCCGGTCTCACTCCTACGGTTCCGTGCTCGCCATCTCGGATCGAGCAACGGCCTCGGGTTTTGTCCATTTCGTAGTCCATGCATCCAATATTTCCTGTGAGATATATGTCGGCTTCGGTTTTTTCCTTAGACGACAAAGGAAGTCGAATATCGCTTCGTGCGAGACTTTCTCATGCTTTCTTAACTATGCTCTCGTTCAAATCATCATCCCACTTAAATGATTTACGCCAAAAAAAATATACACTACTAACTTTACTTTCATATTATTTTATACAATTTAATTAAATATTAAATAATATAATTAATCAAATAAAATTTAGAAATTAGAACCTTAAATTCTTCCCAGTAAAAATCTTTTATCTCCGGACTCATTTTTTTCCACATCCATCCCGAAGAATGAACGTACTCTTGGAATGTCTTAACGATCGAGCGAGAGTAAACATCGAAGGATATAACCTACAAAAAAATAACCATTAATTAAATTCATAAATAATAGAGTAGATAATAATGGTAACAAAAATTTTTTTTAATTAAATGAAGCATAAACCGTACTCATTGCGCCCAACAACAATGACCCGTACTCAATGGTCAACCGCAGATGTTATTGGCTCGAAGCCGATTAACGCGGGACATTATGGGGTGGAACGTGTTGAGGAACGGAACGATCGTCCCGATGTGATGACGAAGACACCGACGATAACGACGAAAAATATGAGGGAGGTTGATGTGGAGGTTCAAAAGGTTGCGGCCGAGACCCGACAGGCATGGAACGGGATGTGGAAGGGCCACCGGAAGAGTGGTACGGAGGCATGTCCGGTGGGGGATCCATCCGACCGTGAGCGAAATAAGAAGGGTGTCTACGACGTCCATGATCACCGTCGGACTAATCGGTATCCGAACCACGACCCCTACCTCGAGTCATTATGACCTACGTACATATTAATTATTAAAGTCAATAATTGCTAAATAAAATATGAATTATATAATGCATATATACTTACATATAACATTCAAATTAATATGAACTAATTGATTTATACTAAACAACAATAAATCATAAACATTTATTTAATTAAATCTTACCTTTAAAAATTATATGTTAACTATGTAAGTAAACATACGAATAAACCTAATTTTTTCCTAAAATTGTGATAGAACGTGGACGGTACCCTAGAGATTTATTAAAATAGTTTGAAAAATTACATTTGGGGGGACAAAATCAGCCTATCCCAACATCCCGGGAGGACAAGGTTGCCTAAACCCTTAAATTCGAGCAACAATTACATAAAATCCAAGTGCATAATTTATGAATTGAATAAAAAATACAATATAACATAATCCAATGGGATATATCATATTATCTCTAATCACTATCATTATAATCATTGTCACATTCTTCATCTAAGTCTTCTTCAACATCGGTTTCTAACTCCGATTCATTCCGAATATCTATTTCATCACCGTCCAATTCTAATAATGCTCCAGTCGATCAATTAATGATCGACCTCATCATCATCAATGTGCATGACATTGTGTTGACCTTCTATTTCATTTTCTTGAAAGGGTTCGATATTGATTTGATCAACGGCAACGTACATTTCGGCACATCAACCGTAGGCCTTGGCTTAACCTTATATACCGCTAACCGGTCTCGTCGTATGCGTTTACATGTAGGATATGTTACATAATACACCCGATGCGCTTATGATCCTAGTATGAATGGATCGGATCTATTTGAATACCTACGACTATGAACCTCAACTAGTCCATAATGATCATGAACTCGTGTACCGATACCGTGCGTTATATCATACCAATCACATTTGAACAAAACTATTTTCTTTATTGGTAAGGCTGGATACTCAAGTTCGAGTATGTCAATTAACCTACCGTAGTAGTCATTTTCCATCTCACCGTAGTTAACTCCTTTAACACACACTCTACTACACATTGATGCTCTCTTCGAACCACCAACATCGGTATGAAACTTATATCCATTTATAATGTACCCCGTATATGACTTTGCGGTTCGTAATGGTCCTTTGGCCAAATCTTTAATATAATGATCTCGTTATAGTTTTAAGTTGTGCTCGGCTTGCTCGTATGTAAGGACCGAGTTATTTATAAGGTAATGTAATAATAAAATTTGATAAAATAAATTTATGAATATTTAATAACAATCTTGACAACAGGAATACTCACATATCGATGAAACCATGATGCAAATTGGTTTTGAAGTCGAAAATCAACCTCGTTTTTCGATATGTCAAGGTCACTTTCATAAAGTTGATCGATAAAATATCCGACGATAAAAATATTATTATTATATGTTCTTAAATTGAATGGTTGTTAATGAATAAATGTATAGTAATAATATTTGATAGTAATAAAACTTACTCCGTATACGGTGTCACCTCATCACGGTTCAATAGAATGTAAGTGTGCGCCGTATTCTTTTCTTGATCCGTCGGGACATGTGATCGTGCTCGACCATGGGGTCTACCCTTAGGAATGAATATTGCTAACATGCCTTCAATATTTTCATTCGGTTCTCAATCATAGTCAACGTTTCTAGGCACTTTTCGATGCCTAGTGTGTAC